ACATGTCGTTTATATATTTATGTATGTGTTTGCTTGGTACGTTTATGAACATTTATTATATATATATATATATATATATATGACCTTAATTTTTTTATTTCAATGGACACAGCCCTCAGCCGGGACCACCCAGGCTACTTACTGGATGAAGTCAGCATGGTCCGGGGCTGCAGCTCGGCGGCCGATCCTGCGCAGGTGACAGGGTCTCTGCCCCTCATGGCAGGGCTGGCAGGGGGCTGGCATTTCGGGAGAGTCCCACTTGCTCAGCAACCAACTTGCAGGAGGGCAGGTGCTGGGGAAAAGCAGCCACGGTTTCCGTCCCTCGTTCTGTTAAGAGAAAGCAAAAGACCCAAACATGGAGACAGGGAACTGGGAAATGAGCCAGGGGGAAGTAAGGCAAATTGTTGCACTCCGTGCAAAAACGGAGTCCATCAGCCACTCTGGAAAGGAGAAGCAACCATTAACTTCCCGGAGAATGGAGATCTACCACAAAGTTGTATAACGGCATGAGGATAACCAGACCAAGCCCATCTTTAGAAATCCCGTTTCCCAGAGAAGAGAAGCAAAGTTTGTCCTCTGGGAGCATAGAATCATAGAGTTGGAAGAGACCACAAGGGCCATCGAGTCCAACCCCCTGCCAAGCAGGAAACACCATCAGAGCACTCCTGACATATGGTTGTCAAGCCTCTGCTTAAAGACCTCCAAAGAAGGAGACTCCACCACACTCCTTGGCAGCAAATTCCACTGTCGAACAGCTCTTACTGTCAGGAAGTTCTTCCTAATGTTTAGGTGGAATCTTCTTTCTTGTAGTTTGGATCCATTGCTCCGTGTCCGCTTCTCTGGAGCAGCAGAAAACAGCCTTTCTCCCTCCTCTATGTGACATCCTTTTCTATATTTGAACATGGCTATCATATGACCCCTTAACCTCCTCTTCTCCAGGCTAAACATGCCCAGCTCCCTTAGCCGTTCCTCATAAGGCATCATTTCCAGGCCTTTGACCATTTTGGTTGCCCTCCTCTGGACACGTTCCAGTTTGTCAGTGTCCTTCTTGAACTGTGGTGCCCAGAACTGGACACAGTACTCCAGGTGAGGTCTGACCAGAGCAGAAAACAGTGGCACTCTTACTTCCCTTGATCTAGATGCTAGACTCCTATTGATGCAGCCCAGAATTGCATTGGCTTTTTAGCTGCCGCGTCACACTGTTGGCTCGTGTCAAGTTTGTGGTCAACCAAGACTCCTAGATCCTAGATCCTTTTCACATCACAGCAGAAGCCTGTGATTCCCACCCCACCCTCCTTCATGCTTTTACTTAAAGAGTACCGTATTTTTCACTCCACAAGACACACTTTTTTCCTCCTAAAAAGTAAGGGGAAATGTCTGTGCGTCTTATGGAGCGAACGTGATCCTTTTTTTTTTTTTTTGAAAGAGGGAAGTGGGTGTTGAAACAAAGCCACTGATTGCAAGCGATCGCAAGCGAGATAAGGGACACTAGCAATAGAGGAGGCTGCCTGGGAGGGGAGACAGGAAGAGAGGAGACAGGAAGAGAGGAGACAGGAAGACTAAAGCAATAAGGAGAGAAATTAGAAGAAAAGGAGGAGCCAAAAACTGCTCCAGCTAAGGAAAAGACACTAAGGCAAACAAGAGGGAAGGGGGTGTTGAAAGGAAGCAGCTGATCGGCAAGCGATCAGGAGGGAGATAATGGATACTAGAGATAAAGGAGGCTGCCTCTTTCCGAAGCCTCTTTCAGGGGCCTAATCCAACCATAGATGTCAACTTTTCCCTTTTCTTGCAAGGAATCCTATTCGGAATAAGGGAATTTCCCTTAAAAAAAGGGAAAAGTTGACAGCTATGAATCCAACCCACCAGTTGATTTAATCCAGCCCCCGTGGGAGTATACTACGTCCTGGGGTAAAATCCTTAAAAAACAAAACAAAACTCCACAACTTTGGGGGTAAAATTGTAAGTAAAACTCAACAACTTTGGGGTTGAATCCTAAAAAAAGTTCCAAAACCTCAATCCCCAAAATAGCTGAACAACTTTGGGGTAAAATTATAAGAAAAGCTCAGCAACTTCAGCCCTAAAAAAACTCAACAACTCTTGGTTTAAATCCTAAAGAAAGCTCAAAACTTCAATCCTAAGGAAAGCTCAGCAACTTTGGTCGGCCCTCAAGCATGTTCACTTCATCAACTCTGGCCCTCTTTGGAAAAAAGTTTGGGAATCCCTGTGGCTGAAGGAGCCTCCAAGCGGCTCACAATCTCCTTTCCCTTCCTGCCCCACAACAAACACTCTGTGAGGTGAGTGGGGCTGAGAGAAGTGTGAGTGGCCCAAGGTCACCCAGCAGCTGCAGGTGGAGGAGCGGGGAAGCGAACCCGGTTCCCCAGATTACGAGTCCACGGCTCTCAACCATTGCACCAGGCTGAGCAGGAGCCCTGCAAAATAGCCCCCTGCCATATCCTTTTTTTAAAATAATATTCATTTTCATCCGTTTTCAATTGCAACCCAATGATGGCCCCACTGTAACCATGCCAAATTCGGATACAATTACTAATACCAATAATCCAAATGCCCAATTAAGTAATGTAGCTCCCCCCCCCCCCGCCTGCTAGAATTGCCTTTCTTCGATCTCCCCCGCAGGCGGAGGACTCGGGCCCGAAGCCTCAGTTGCTCAGCCATGCAATGGGCGCAAGGGGCCACCCTCCTCCTCCTCCTCCTCCTCCTGCCCGGGCACCACCGGCCCCCTCGCCGCCCCTCGGGCTCACCTGCCGGCCGGCCGGAGTCTCCGCGCTCGCTCAGCGCGCCTCCCGCTTTGGCGCCCTGCAGACCCGGCCCCGCCCCCGCCGCCCTCCCGCGCCCCCATTGGCTCTCGCCCGCGCCCAAGCCCCGCCCCCCGCGGCGCGCCACCACCAGAGCGGGAAGCGAAAGCGAAAGCCGCGCTCCTGCGCCTGCGCGGAACTCTCCCGCGCTCCTGGCTGGGGCGGGGCGGACCCGCGGCGCCGACACGTGTCCGCCCACTCCCACGTGCACGGAGCCCCAGCGGGCAGCAGGCCGGCGCGGCTCTTCCCTCCTCGTTGCAGCCCCGCGAGGTGGGCTCGGCGGAGCGGCCCCCCAGGCGGCTGAGCCCGACACGCGACCTGCCTCTCTGCACGTCGGAAGGGCTCCAGGGCGAGGGGAAGAGGGCGCCTCCCCGGCTGCCAGGGCCCGAACCAGGCTGTGCTGGACCCGAGTCAGAGACCCAGTTTGGCACACACAGGCAGGCAGCCTCAATGGAGGAAAGGGGGAAAGGGACCATGCCCCCCATAGCCACACCACGGCGAGCTCCCCCCCCCCCGCAAATGGTGCACGTGTGCTGCGCATAGCTGTCAACTTTCAGATTTGAAAAGAAGGGATCAGCAGCCTCCCCTGTCCCGGGGACAGTCTAAGGCACAGGTGTCAAACGCAAGGTCCGCGGGCCGAATCCGGCCCACCAGACCTCGTCATGTGGCCCGTGTAGCCGCCGCCGGCCGCCAGCCTTCACCTTTTATTCTCGCTTTTTTTTTTTTTGACACCAGAAAGCCGCCTCTTCAGCGCATGCGTGGCAGCCTACAAGCCAGAGAACGTCTGCCCTCTAGCGGCGCCGGCCGTTCTACACAGGAAACCTCCGCTTTATATGCATTCAGGAAACTTCCACTTGTTTTTATATTGAGCGCATATTGAGTCCTATAGACACAACCGGCCCTTTGAGGGTGACCAAACTGCTGATGCGGCCCCCAATGAATTTGAGTTTGACACCCCTGGTCCTAAGGGATATCTAACCATCCGGGATGGAAGCAGCGGGAAACGGGGCTGGAATAAGGGAATTTCCCGCAAAAAAAGGGAAGCTTGTGTCCACGGCTGAAAGCTGGCCCGCTTGTTTTCTTGAATGCTTAAAAAAGCTGGGTCAGCATGAGTCAGCGGCCTGAACCAGGTTGTATAGAGAGAGTGAGAAATGTTAGTTTGGTGTTGGGTTGGTTGGTTGGTTAGTGAAAGCTGGCAATGTACTACAGTATTTTAATATTTTTGGGAAGCCGCCCAGAGTGGCTGGGGAAGCCCAGCCAGGTGGGCGGGGTATAAATAATAAAATAATTATTATTAGTGTTGATGTGTGTGCAGTTGGTCAGTCGCTTTTGCACAAAGACTTTTAAGAATAAAAGCAGAAAGTACTCTGCCAGGATACTTTTCTCATGGACTCTTTTATGCCAACAAGGGTCAGAGGACCAGGCGGAGGCGACAAAGGGAGGTCAGAACCACCCCCCCTTTTTTTTACAAACACTGACAGGTTGACAGCTATGGTGCTGCCCCTTCTTGCGACCCACATTCCCTTCCCGATGCCCCTTCTTCCAAGAGGAGAGCTCTGCCCATGAAGAGCTTTCCCTGGCATTGCCCTTCAGAGCTGAGGCAGGGAAAGGGAGGCTTTCCTTCACCCCCTGGGCACCTTGGAGGCAGGCAGCCCGCCCAGGAGGCCCCGGGTTCAAACCAGCTCATATCCCCAGCAAATCAGCCTTGCAGAGTTTGAAGGGATCCTCGGGGCCATCTAGTCCAACCCCCTGCAATGCCAGAATCGGCTCGTTTGGCTCGGCTTCTTTCTGACCTGCCTGGCACCGTGGAGCATCCAGCTGTGCGGCTGCCTTTCTCCTCACTCCCGGCAAAGTTTTGCACTTATTTCGGAGGCAGTCCGTGGCAGTGGACTTTGCTTAGCCTGCTGGGCTGCTGCTGCTGAGTACAATTTTCTGGCACCGCTGCCTTGCACAAGTTACGCAGGGGGAAGCTGGACCCTTCTGCGTCCTGCGCATTAAGCAAAAGTTCAAGTGTGCTGGAAAACGCCACCTCCCTGGATCGCCAGGAGTGCTGCCGTTTAGCAAACAATCCTTCCTGATAACAGAACCATGCATGATTCCTAAGCGGGGCAAGACCCAGGGTGGCAGCTGCCCGTCGCAATTTGAAAATGATTAGGAAACTACAAAAAGCATGAGCAGACAGAGAGGTTTTGGGTGACCTTGGGCATAAGTTTGCTTTTATTGACTTTTCATTTTGTCTGGATGCATCTGGGGCGGGCAGGCGGGCGGCCTCCCATCGCTGCCATCTGCCTGGTTGGGGCACCATGAGACGTGGCGCTGGCCAGCCCTCCAGCCATTGCCAGCCAGAAGGAATTTCACCTCTCGGATGGAACTTCGGGCGTCTCCTGAAGCCTTCAAGGGTAGTTGTCGGCGTACGAAAACTTGGGGATGAAATACTTCCGCACCAACTGCTGCATGGCGGTGAAAGACTTGGGTGATGCCGGCCTCGCCAGAATGGGTGGGAAGGGGTCCAAGTTGATTCTCGGCAAGGGAAGTTTCACAAAGGGCGCAAACCCCTTCATGAGGTAGCGCGGGAAGATGTACGGGCAGTAGAAGCCTGGGTTTGAGGGAGACAACAAAGAGGAAGAGGAAGGCCATTGGGCATGGGAGAAGCCCCTGGACTCCCCTTTCCTTCCTCGCCCCCGACTCTAATCCAGCAGAGATCAGCTGGGAAACAACTCGGCTGTCCGTTTTTTCAACCAGCCACTGTACTTCTGCTTTCAACAACAGCTCAATGCACTGGCATCTTTTTTATTTAAATATTTATATAACTGCTTTTTTTAAAAAGACCTACAAAAGTAAAGGTAAAGGGACCCCTGACCATTAGGTCCAGTCGTGACCGACTCTGGGGTTGTGGCGCTCATCTCGCTTTATTGGCCAAGGGAGCCGGCGTACAGCTTCCGGGTCATGTGGCCAGCATGACTAAGCCGCTTCTGGCGAACCAGAGCAGCGCACGGAAACGCCGTTTACCTTCCCGCCGGAGCGGTACCTATTTATCTACTTGCACTCTGACGTGCTTTCAAACTGCTAGGTGGGCAGGAGCAGGGACCGAGCAACGGGAGCTGATTCGAACTGCCAACCTTCTGATCGGCAAGTCCTAGGCTCTGTGGTTTCACCCACAGCGCCACCCGCATCCCTATAAACCTGCTATAAACATTCCCTCTAATGATGAACTAAACATGTTCAGAAGCAGGTCCATGCACCAATCCAACCTAGATGTGTTGATGACGGCAGGTGCGACTCTGGACAGCTCTGCCTTCTGCAGGACAAGTTGCATCAGGTGCACAAACCACAGCTGTGCTCAGGCACTCCTGGCCAACGTTGCTCCAAGGTCCTAGGAGCACCCCTTATGGAGAGGAGCCCCTCATCCAAAAACCTGGACCAGCATCCCTGTGTCTTGCTTGGATTAGCGGGTGATGATAGTGTTATGGGCTGGGCCTCTTCTAATGCCTGGATCCAGCACAGTTTCAATTCCTGGAATAGCCAGGTTAGCTTCCTAGTGAGGTAATGGCCCTCTCCGTGTGGGCCATTAAGGTAACAAAGGAAGTGGCTGTGTGCCAGAAACCAAATGGGTCGGGCCCCTCCCTTCCCTCAAAGACAAAGGCCAGAGTTGCAAATTGCTTTTTCAAGCTGGAAGCTGGCAGGCTGCAGGTTGAGCGGCTGAGAGTCAGAGCTCTGCCTGATTTCAGTTGTGTCCATGGGGAAAGCAAGACCCTCTTGGGGTGTTAGTGCTGTGAACTCCTCCATCGCAGGCTCAGGTGGTGTACACATAAGCAGGAGATCCCAAAGCCACCGCGGTCTCTGCTGCCCTGCATTCCAAAGGAAACAAACCCTGGAAAAGTACCTGGAAAAGTACCTGGAATTTCATGCCGCCCAGAGATTGGGGTGGTGTGCAACAATAGTCACAATATTGAGCTCCATTCTATGAAAATCTTCACCTTCCTGCTTTGTGCAAACAGGAATATTGGCTCGCTCACGGTGAGTGGGACACACAGCAAATAGCCCCCCCCCCCCCGGAATGCTTTCCAGCCAGTGACACCCCAGAATACACAGGACACACCTCTTGCCCAAGGCTAGGCATCTAGGAGGGATTGTTGGATTAATCTGCCAGGTGTGTGCAGAGCTGCCACAGAAAAGTCTCCAAAGCTGTCTCTGGGATTATGATGGCCCTGAATCGCAGCCAGTTGTTTTAAAAAAGGCCAAGCCTGGGCATCTAAGTGCAAGTGCCCAAACTGGCAAGATGGTGCCAGCAGCTGGCACATACAAAGACGTGTCTGTTCATCTCCTTCTCTGCCAGAGGCCAAACCTGGCCCTTGATTTGCCAGTCTTGTTTTAGAGATAAAAAAGGCAGAGTATAAACATCCTAACAAGCAAAGACTGAAATAAATCTTTCCACATGTCAATTGTAGTCACAGAAAGCAATCTGGGGTTAAACTGAAGAACTAGTTAGTTTCTGCTGCTGCAGGAGGAAGGGTGGGAGGGTCTGGGTGGGGGGCGGCAGAGCATTTGCCCCCAGTGCCATTCACGTCTGTTTGGGGGCAAGCAGATACAAGCCACAGGGCCAGGCAGTGGGGTGAAGAACACCCCCCCCCCCGGCCACTGCAGCTACTTACGCTCGGGTATTCTCTTCCTCAACATGGCGTTGGTTTCTCCGAGCCGCAGGATGGCACGCTTCCTGTCACAACAAGGGCACGGGTTTACCAAGAGCAGCAGAAGCCCACGGAAATGGCACTTGCCCCCGCGCACAGCCTGTGATCCATTGTGCGGGGAGCATGCGCAGGTGAGGCCAGGCTCAGCCCCTGCACTTTTAGGGGGACACCATGTATGGGAGAAGCAGCCGTGAGCCTGGCTGTGCTGGGCCCGGGGGTGACCCGAGTAACGCGGGCCAGGTCCGGTCCCGAATCCGAAGGTTCCACTAGGAGTCAGTCCAACAGGGTTGAGGCAGGACACGAGGTAGGAAACCAGGCAGGATCTAGCATACAGCAATGTTGCTCCTGCAACCTGGGGCAGGGACCGACAGCCTTTTATCTTTGTTGGGGTAGCGGCCGGTCCTGATCCCCCGGTGACTCAACTCCCTGCTTCGCCCGGAGGCGAGCACTCCTCCTGCGAGTACTCAGGTCTCTCCTTCTCTCAGACCTCAGTCTCTGCAGCTCGGGAGACGTGGGTGGGTTACTAGACCCAGGGGCCGCCTCAGCCTCTCCTGACCCAGTGGAGCAGCTGTAAGTGATGGCCCAGCTGGAGGCAAGGAGGTCATCCCCACATCTGGAGCCAGGGCAGGCTCCGGCCCCTGACTCAGCCCAGCTGGTGCTTGTTGCAGGGGAACCTGTGCAGACTGGGGCTCTTCAGGATCAGGCCCCAGACTTGGTTCAGCTGCTGCCTGAGGCAAAGGATCCGGTGCAGACTGAGACTCCTCTGGTTCCGAGTCCGAGCCCGAGTCCCAGGCCATCACACCGGCCTAGACTGGGGGCAGCGTTGTAGAGAGAGAACACCCCCCCCAAAGTTCCAGAGTTGTTGGATCCTTCTATACTCTACCGCAGCCACGGAAAGCCTCTGCCCCCCCCCCACTTGGGTCTTGCTCTGGGGCTCCAACTCCCATCACCATCCCTGACTTTTAGCCCTGGTGGTTGGGGAAGCTGGAGTCCAGCAACCTCTGGAGGGCCACACAGGACCCCCAGCCCTTCACTGCCCCCAGAAATCTGTGGGGAGGACAGACAGAATCATTCTGCCAAGCTTGGGGGAACTGATCTGGGAGGCAGCAGCAGCAACAGCAGCACCCAGAAAAGCCATGCATTTGCCTGGGCTTCCTCAAGTGTAACAGCCCCTCTTACTTCTTAATGGGAGGCAGGGCCATGACGGTGTCCTTGGGCGAGATCAGCGAAGAAGAGACCAGCTGCTTCATCTCCTCCAGCTCCTTCTCCAGCTGCTTTTCGACGAAGTAATGGATGGCGTCGATGGGGCAGACGGGCTGTATCCCAAACTGAGCCGCCTCCGCCTGCAAGAGGAGAGCAGCCCTGAGAGTCCCTGGCGTGGCCCCTTCCCTCGCCCCGGGGGTCAGCAGGGGGCTTTGGCGTGGGGCAAAGCTGGGCCTGGGCAGGAAGCACCGGGACACTTGTGCTTCCTCTCAATAAGTGTCCAGTCTCTGGGCCCAGCTTGGGCCGGCAGGCTCTGGCACGGGAGGAGGAAGAAGCAGGTGGGGGGAACCTGAGTCGGGGGGCCAGGGGGATCTCCCCTTTCCACTCCACCAACAAGGGGCTTTCTGAACTGGTGGCCTCACCTCCTTTTTTATTATTAATTCATCTTTATTGATTTAAAATATCATCTTACATATGTATTACAGACAGTTACATCAAAATTAAACACAAAAATATAATAGACAAAAGATAAAGAAAATAAAAATAAAAAGCAAAAAAGAGTTAACAATAAGAAATGAATATTGGTTATAACATCCTGTCTTTTCTAATAAAGTCTTCTGAAAGAGACTTCCAATCGTTCTCATTGTACTTTTTCTATTGTCAGTTTTATCGCACAGTTTGTTTTATAACTTTTCCTGTATATTAATCTAGTATATTTATTCCATTTGTTTATTATATACAAGTATCATTCAGTTCTGCTAGGATGTCATTGTTACAATATAATCTTATATATTCTTTGAATAGTCTCCATTCTCTGAATATTTTTTGATTTGGGGCTCCTCTGGCTTTTCCAGTCAGCTTTGCTAATTGAAAGTACTCTAGCATGAGTGATTGCCAATCTATTATCCTTTCGGAACTGGTGGCCTCACCTCCAGGCTTCCTGACTCCTCCATCACTGGCTGCTCTGCATCCTCCGTGACGTCACCACCCTCTGGCTCCTAAGTCAGAGGAAAACCCACCAGTCAGAGTGCAATTGGGCAAAGGTTTATGACGCATGCAGAACATGCAAAAAGAAACATGGCAGGATATCTCCAGCTATAGGGAACCAGGCAGAGGGCCTTCTCGGTGGTGGCGCCCGCCCTGTGGAACGCCCTCCCATCAGATGTCAAGGAAATAAACAAGACACCTGAAGGCTGTTTAGGGAAGTTTTTAATGACTGATGTTTTAATGTATTTTTAACCTCTTGTTGGAAGCCGCACAGAGTGGCTGGGGAAACCCAGCTAGATAGGCGGGGTAGAAATAATAAATACCGTATTTTTCGCCCTATAGGACGCACTTTTTCCCCTTCAAAAATGAAGGGGAAATGTGTATGCATCCTATGGGGTGAATGCAGGCTTCAGGAAGCTGTCCGCAAGCCTTGGGAGCCCGCGGGAGTTCCCGCCGGGCTCTCATGGCTAGCGGAGAGCTGTCTCTATCCCGAAGCCTGGGCGCGCTGAGCAGTCGCGCCCAGGCTTCGGGTAGCTCTGCGCAAGCCGCGGGAGGGCTCCCACGGCTTGCGGAGAGCTGCCTGTTCTGGGGGCTGGGGTCAGGGGAAGCTCGGGCTTCCCCCGCCCCAGCCCCGCGCCTGGAGGGGAAATAATTTCCCCCCCTTTATTTCCCCCCCAAAAAACTAGGTGCACCCTATGGGCCGGTGTGCCCTATGGGGCGAAAAATACGGTAATAAATTCTTGTTGTTGTTGTTGTTATGCAGTCTCCGAATGCATTGCTCATGTTCAGGGTTTCAGGCAACTTAGATCAGGAGGTTTGCGAGTCTTCTCCAGGCCTCACTCTGTCTTATTTATGGCAGATCCCTTTTCATTTATTATTTCTGTTATTTATATATAATAGAAGGTGGCCTACAGATGTACTAAGAACAGCTGAAAACTTAGAAAAACAACCACTAAAAACAATTCAACATTAAAACTCTCTCTCTCCAAAATCTCATTAAAAAACCTCACTAAAAATGACAGATACTCTTACCCTTATGCATCTATTACAAAAACATAATTACCATAAATAATTGAACATTACAAGTGTCATTACAACCCTGCCAAAGATTTTAACTGTTTACAGTGGTTTTTTAAATAAATTACAAATTTACTCCAATCTCTAGAAGATACTTGATCTTCCTGGTTTCAGTAAAAGATGGCAATAAACCTAAATTTAAATATGGAACCCATGGAGGGAGAGGAGAAGGTCTGAAGGTTTGAAAGAACCTTGTACTTTAATGTTTGAAATGGTTTTGTTTTAGATGTATAATATTATCTAAAACTCAATATTTTATTTTAAATTTTTTTTTTAAAAAAAAATGACAGATACTCAACCATCCAAGTTCACCCTTAGAGGGAATGTTTATAGCAGGTACCTTTTGTTAGACAACAAGGGGCATTTTGGGTGGTGAGCTCCAGGGGGTCTTCCCGTACCTGTGGACTCGCCTCCTTCCTCGCCCTCTTCTCCTTCGCAAGGGATCTCCTCTGTGCCCTCTCCTTCTTGCTCAGGTCTTTTCCCACCTGGAATGAAGACGCCAACAAGAGCCTCACTTTGCAGTTCAATACTTGCAGTATGGTAGCTATCGGCTGTTGTGGGCGGCCAGGGGAAAGGATTGGATGTTCCAGCCTCTCTTTTTAGGATATTTGGATTCACGTCTTTTGTCCGATATGCTCTGTGGTTCGGTGGAGGGTGACGGGGGGGGCACTGTCCCCAAACTACCCCCACCTGCCTAGCTGCCCTCCCTCCTGGGGTGGCCTTGGCTGTCAAGATTCCCCCTGCTCCTTCGTCTCGGCATTCCCTGTAGAGAAATCAGCAGGGAAGGGGAGGACAGGCTGGTCATTGGCTCTGGGGGGTCTCCATGGGAACAACCCGCCACTGGATTGAGAATTCTCTCTCTCTCTCCTGCAAGCCATCCAGAATAAAGAATAAAATTAAAGAGATCTGGCCTCATGGAAGCCGGCAAACCCCTGGAGGGAAAAGAAATGTGACTCATAGAAATGTAAAGTCGGAAGGGTCCCAGGGGTCATCTAGTCCAACCCCCTGCAATGCAAGAATCACAGAGGAAGAAGAGGCCCCTCCTTACCTGGCACAGGGACAGCCCTCGCTCTCAGGTGCCACCCTGCCTGGTTTTGTGGGATTCTTCGGCAGACCTTACCTCTTTGTAGCTCTCGGGGGAATATTTGCCCTCCAGCTGCCTCTCCTGGTCCACGCTAGAGCCGCTCCACTCCTGGGTCAGACAGAGAAGGTGTACCAAGGGGCTTTTGAGGGGCAGTTGTGGGGTTAGCCTTTGGCCAACCTGGCATCGCCCAGAGGTTTTGGACAGGTGGCTGATGGAAGCTGCAAGAGCTGCCTGGAAGGAACGGCCGCCCCTCCAGGCACCCAACCTGGGCTGGCTTCATGAGATTCTTCTGTAAGCCTCCTCACCTCTTGGTAGCTTTCCGGAGAGGACATCTTGCTCGCCGTCTCCATGGTGGAGCGTCTCTTCTGCTGGAACAAGGACGACAACATGTGGGTCAGAGCCATAGCTGTCAACTTACAGATTTGAAAATAAGGGACCAGCAGCCTCGGAAATAAGGGATCAGCAGCCAAAATAAGGGATTTTCCGGGCACAGGTATGTTCAACTTCTGAGCCCCTCCGAGCCAAAGGCAGAAAGCCCAGCCAGCAGCCAAACGAAGCCTCAAGCGGTGGTTCCCACAGCACAGCAACCCAGCAAAGGGGATGCAGCAAGGAAAACCACCATCATCTTTCTGCTGGGAAGCGCTGAGCAAAGGCTAGTCTCCAGGCAACGCGGCCGATTTGATCGGCACAAGGCATGCAAGCTCCATCCCCCAGTCATTCTTAGACTCCTTATTGGGTGATCAACACAGCAAGGAAAACCACCATAATCTTTCCGCTGGGAAGCACTGAGCAAAGGCTAGTCTCCAGGCAACGCGGCCGATTTGATTGGCACAAGGCATGCAAGCTCCATCCCCCAGTCATTCTTAGACTCCTTATTGGGTAAGCAACGCAGCCAAGCAACCCAGTTGGAGCCTCCCTCCTCCCTGGCCGGCAGGGAGGGAGGGAGAGGAGCTGCTTCCTTTGAAACACGGGAAATTTAAGGGACATCATCAATAAGGGACAGCAGCGGGACACGGCGCTGGGATAATGGACTTTCCCGCCAAATAAGGGACGGTTGACAGCTATGGTCAGAGCCCAGCTTTGAAATCACTTAGCATGCGTTTCAAGCACTGTGGCTAGATAGGCAATGGATTATTAATTTCAGTTGATATGTAAATTATATATACCGTATTTTTCGCCCCATAAGACGCACTTCTTTCCTCCTAAAAAGTAAGGGGAAATGTCCGTGCGTCTTATGGGGCGAATGTGTGGTTGATCGCTGGCTCCCTTTTCGCCCCCTTGCCCAGGCCTCCATCGTTGAGTGTTCTGCAGACGGAGGCCGTTTGTTTCCCCAGCGACATGTGACTGGCTGATTAGATTATCTGTCTGGAAATTGTAGAAACGGCTCCCTTTCCTTTCCTAAAGAAGCTACAGAACTGTGAGTTGAAGCCCATAAAAACAAGATTTTTTTCCCTTTGCAAAGTAAGCTCAACAACTTTGAGCTGATCCTCAAAAAAGGGGCTTTCCCCCTTTGTAAAAGAAGCTGCACAACTGTGAGCTGATCCCCCCAAAAACGGGGCTTTTCCCCCTTCCTCCTCTAAAAACTAGGTGCATCTTATGGAGCGAAAAATACGGTGATTTTCAGACATCTTTCTTTATAGATATTGTAATGGACGGACTGTGATTTCATTTGCTTTTTTTGTAATTGCCTGGAGTATCAATAAACAAGGCGGAGTAGAAAATTTAAAAAACCTGGATGATCTGGGGGGCTCTGAAGGATGGAGACCCCCTGGGTGGGGGGACAAGGGAGCTGAGCTGAGAGGTGCAGGAAGGTGGGGGCAAAGGAGGAAGAGGAGAAGGAGTGTTAAGTTGTGGGCGAACATATCAGACGACACAGCGATTCTTCAAACAGCTCTTGTTTATTCCGAGGCCAGAACAGAACTGAGCTGAAGGGCTCAGTCAGCCTGCTTATATAGAGCTCCAGAACAACAGTTACTGTAGCAACTTTCTAAAACTATCCAATCACTGAATGTCACTTTCGATTCTTCATTTGTATACAAACTATCCAATCACTGAACATCACTTTCGATCCTTCATTTGCATAACTATCTACAGTATCCCCCTGCTGGCCCAGGGTGAGAACTTCAGTAGATAACACAGAGGAAGGTGAGAACTGCCCTCACCCTTCCGCCTTCCCACAATAATCAGCAATGACCAGGCTGGACGCACAATACTTCTTACCTTCTGGAAAGGTTTAAAGGAATAATGCCTTCTGGATGGAACCTTCTGCGCCAAAAGCTGAGCTCTGTGCTCCTGGGAGGAAGAGAATCATCAGGTGCCGCTTCCAGCGTGGAGAAAAGAGTTTGCTGAATGTTTGTTGCCCAAAGGGCAAATCCCTTTGCTGTGCAAGAACGTGGCCTGGGACCCCCTCCCCAGGCCCCCACTGGAGGCAGCTTTCAAAAGCAGGAGCCCCCGGGTCGTGGGCAGGCAGAGGGACACATGGACCCGTAATATAGTTTCGGGTGAGGTCTTTGGGGCCCACCAAATAAAAAACTTTTGGTGTCGCAGTATCCTAGCAGGTGATCTATAGAAATAGTCGGTGAAAAATGGCTTTTAGTTCATTTTTCTCATGAAGTAATTAAGCTTTTTTATTTTAAAAAAAGTGTCACTGAAAGCTTTTGGTGTCATAGCATCCCAGAAAGGGATCCACAGGAGGAGTCGATTTCTTTTTAACGGCAAATTGGAGGGGGCATAAAAATATTAGTTTTAATATTTTGTTGAAAGCCACTCAGAGTGGCTGGGGAAGCCCAGCCAGATGGGCGGCGTATAAATAATAAATTATTATTATTATATTATTATATTGCAGCGGTGGGGGGGAGGAGGTGAGTCATTCCTGCTTAAAATGCTGGCAGATTAGAGGCGGTTAAGTGGAGCATCTATAGGCCGGCGCAGGTGAGTTTAATATTTTGTTGAAAGCCACTCAGAGCGGCTGGGGAAGCCCAGCCAGATGGGTGGCCTATAAATAATAAATTATTATTATTGTCAGGGCTGCCTCAGGTCCCAGCTCACAGAGGACCAACGCCAGTCCATTGCTATATTAAATAGTCTTTAATAGTTTCTCATTTACAGCCACGGCGCGCAGCTCTACGTCTCAAACTCTAGACCGCCGAAGCTCCATCTGAATCTCCTCCCCCCAGACACCAGTTTAAGACTCTAGCCTTGCTCCACCTCTTCCTCTGCTCTCTTGTCCTCTGGGCCCGCCTGTCCGCCGAGGTCTTGCCCTTCCTAGACTCTTCTGACGCTGAATCCCCCGAGTCTTCCCCCTCCCTCCGGCGGGCTTTAGGACCTGGTTCCCAATCCGGGCTTCCTGCTGTCCCGCGCGCCTGTACATTTGAACTTGGCGCGCGCGCCCAGCCTGCCACCTTCCTTCTGACCGTTATACTGCTCCTGTCGCTGCTTCCCTCTTCGGGATGCTAGCTGGGTCTGACTCCTCCTCCCTGCTTGCCGGAGGAGACGCTGACTCTGACCTATGGGGCTCTTCCCCCCCACTACGCTCTGGTGGGGAAGCTGGTCCTGATTTCCAGCTACTGCTTTGGGAGTCTCCGCTGGCCCCCTGCTTCTGGTGTGTCCCCCCTGGGACCCCCCTTGCCCTGGCCATCGGCGCCCCCTTCTGGGAATCTTCTGATTCACTGGAGAGGCTCATGGAATCTCTCGGGTCACTGTCATTCTGCCCTCCGCTGCCCTCAGATTCTTCCCCTTCGCTCTCCATTTCCTCTCTCCCCTGCGCCTCTGCTCCTGAGCCCCTGGCAATTATATTATTATATTGCAGCGGTGGGGGGCGGGGAGGTGAGTCATCCCTGCTTAAAATGCTGGCAGATTAGAGGCGGTTAAGTGGAGCATCTATAGGCCGGCGCAGGTGAATTACATTTCTCCCATCAACCATATTCTCCTAATCGATTCTCCCTGACATTTGGACTGGATTCTGGTGCTATAGCTTGGGCTCCTGGCTGCTGAGGCTGGAATCCAGCTGGTGCCTTAAGGTGGAGCAATGAATGTAAAACTCTCCCTTGCCCAAATTACTGGCATCTGCGCACACAATTGCACCCCTCCGCAAGAGTCACTGCCACAGTATGAGGAACGGCTAAGGGAGCTGGGCATGTTTAGCCTGGAGAAGAGGAGGTTAAGGGGTGATATGATAGCCATGTTCAACTATATAAAAGGATGTCACATAGAGGAGGGAGAAAGGCTGTTTTCTGCTGCTCCAGAGAAGCGGACACGGAGCAATGGATCCAAACTACAAGAAAGAAGATTCCACCTAAACATTAGGAAGAACTTCCTGACAGTAAGAGCTGTTCGACAGTGGAATTTGCTGCCAAGGAGTGTGGTGGAGTCTCCTTCTTGGAGGTCTTTAAGCAGAGGCTTGACAACCATATGTCAGGAGTGCTCTGATGGTGTTTCCTGCTTGGCAGGGGGTTGGACTCGATGGCCCTTGGGGTCTCTTCCAACTCTATGATTCTATGAAATATTCTATGAAAAGTTCAAGATGACGATTCCAGCCTGGCTAAATCACTCAAGGAGCTCATAGCTCCCAAGGGCCAGATAGAGAGGCCCAAGGGGGCCATATTTGAAGTTCCCAACCCCTGAAGTTCACTGGGCTGAAAGCCTTAATGAAAGTTAGCTTCTTAGCTGAAGGTTGTACTCAGCCGGTGTAAGCCAGACCTTCCTCTCTGACGAAGGGAGATCATTCTAGCTGCCCAGACAACTCAAGTGGGGAAGCTGCTGGCTGGGGAACTTCACTGGCAAATGGCTGGTTTCTTCCCAGAGGAGGGAACCTTACTTTCTGAGCCGCACCTGGATGAGAACAGACCCTGACTCCCCCCCTGACACGCTAGAGAAAAGGCCAGGAGAGAATGGGTGCGTTGCAGATTTCAGCCTGGCTCCTGCTTGCAGAGTTTGACAGATTCTGTAGCGGGGGGGTGGGGGTGGGGCAGGCTGGAGCCAGGTGACCCCTCCCCGGCCGAAGGAAGAGAGAAGGGGGAAGAGGCACCTTGAGCTCCTGCATCTTCCCTTCCAGCCAGCGGTCGCAGGTTCCTCGCATCGTCTCTTTGGAGTGGCTCGCCTCCACCGGCCAGGAGCTCAGCTCCTTGGTGAAATAGCTGTGGGGGTCCTGGATTCCCACCTCCTGCATCAGCTTGTGAATGACGACCCTGAAAGGAGAAAGAGGCAGGTGGGCTCACGCTGCAAGGCGGGGGAATTGCACCCACATGACCACTCCACCACATTTGCTGACCTGAGCCATAAAATACCTGTCAGAGCAATGAGCTAAAGGAATGTTTTTCCTTAAACACCCATTTTCCCCTGCCGGTTGCTGTCCACCTGCTCTTTGAGAATGTGCATCTAGGCAAGGATGGAAGGGGGTGGTCTCTGCTGCCTGTAACTTGCTAACTGAAGGCAAACAGATTTGGGCGGGCAATTTGGAAATCCACGTGGTCCTAAAACCTGATTTCAAAACCATGCGGATAAAAGAAGCTGTGCTGAAATCAATTCACCTGTGGCATGTGTTTTGTTTCCCTTTAAACAAACCTCAACACAGCCCTTGCAGTAAAGGCTTTTCAAATCGTTTTCTTTTAAAGGGGGGGGGGTTGCTTATTGAGAGAGCAATCAAGATGGAGCCAGCCAGAGCAGCTGGCGACTTTGAAAAGCAGCAACTCTGACAAACTGTCCTGAAGCCTTTTGTTTCCTCTGCCCCCCTTAAGGCCTAGGCTCCTACCTGTGCCCCCCCCCGCCCAGGCCCTTACTTGTCTGGGGTGTAAGCCTGCATGTAAAAGGTCATGAGCTCCACTATCAGGTCCTTGTTGTCCTTGTCCATCTTCACGAGGGCCTGCAAGGTGCCCAGGATGAACCTCCGATGCCGCCTTTCCTGGAATGTCGAGAGAAGACAAGGGCATCTTGGCAGGCGGACACAGGAGCCCACAAAGCCAAGGGCCAGCCTGGGCCAGCAGTGCCTACTCTGGCTGGCAGTGGCTCCCCACGGGCTTTGGCAAAGAGAGGAGGAGAGACAGAGGTCTTTTCCAAACTGGCTATGCACAGCAGCTGCCCTGAGATACGGCATTCCTGAATTGCAGGGGGTTGGGCTGAATGACCTTTGGGGTCCCCTCCAATGATACCATTCTATGGCCCTGCAAGTCACTCCTGGCTCTGGCCAGCAGGGAAGTTGAAATCTCTTGACAGCCGGGGGGGGGGCCTCCCTCTCTGGTGGGGTGAAGGGGGGCACATTCCATCCGGCACTCACAACACTGGGGACTTGCTGGCCTTTTGCACACAATCTCTTTCCCCTCCTGGGAAAATGCAGTTTCCACCAGAAGGAAAGAACCGTCTTCAGGAACGATGTCTGCAGCGCTTGCAAGTGCTGGCTCCCCTTCCTCCCCTTCTTGCTTTGCTTCAAAAACATCTCCCACCCCTTTAAAAGTCCCCCTTGGGCCTAAGCACCTTCTCCAGCAGACCCATTGGGGAGAAGAAGAAGAGAAGAAGAAGAAGAGTTTGGATTTGATATCCCGCTTTATCACTACCCTAAGGAGTCTCAAAGCGGCTAACATTCTCCTTTCCCTTCCTCCCCACAACAAACACTCTGTGAGGTGAGTGGGGCTGAGAGACTTCAGAGAAGTGTGACTGGCCCAAGGTCACCCAGCAGCTGCATGTGGAGGAGTGGAGACGCGAACCCGGTTCCCCAGATTACAAGTCTACCGCTCTTAACCATTACACCACACTGGCTCTCAAAAGGAGGTCCCACCTTCCTTTTGAGGGGCTGCTCAGTTATGAAGACCAGAAACTTTAGCCAGCGGCTGGGGATAGTGGAAGCCCAGCCTTCCGCGCATGCGTGTGTGTTCCCCCAGCAGAATATGCAAGACAAGATCTGCCCGGCCGCACAAAGCGAGGAGCCCAGAGTGACCCTCACCCGGAGGGAGGGAGGGTCGTCCCTCTTGTTCAACACCTGGATAAAGGTGCTGCAGACCAGCTCTTTCATCCGATCCCCCATCTCGTCCTTCAGGCTGGCAATGGCTGCAACCAGCTCTGCCTTTTGGCCAAAGTCTCTGGTGGTAACCAAGAAGGCCATCATCTTCGTCAAGAACTCGTTCAAGGTCATCTCCGGCGGAAAGCCCTGGTGAGAGGGAAGGGAAGCTGCCTTGCGGGGGTTTGGACCAGACAACCCAGGGGGTCCCTTCCAATTCAAGGATTCTAGGAGCGCCTCTGAGCTGATGCGCCCCCCTCCCCCGGGAGGACAAGAAGAGCCTGCTGGGTCTTGAAAGAGCAAAAGAAATGGCCCCAGCAGTCGCAGGAGCTGCGGGAGGCCAACTTACCCAAAGGATAGGTGCACACAGCCTGCCCCAGACCCACACGCTGCCCCAGAGGAATCTGCTCATTCATCATCATCATCATCATATAATAATAATAATAATAATAATAATAATAATAATAATAATAATAATAATATTTTTTTATTTGTACCGCGCCCATCTGGCTGGGTTTCTCCAGCAACTCTGGGCGGCTTCCAACAAAATATTAAGATACCGTAATACATCAAACATTAAAAGTTTCCCTAAAGAGGGCTGCCTTAAGATGTCTTCTGAATGTCAGGTAGTTGTTTATCTCTTTGACATCTGATGGGAGGGCGTTCCACAGGACGGGTGCCACCACTGAGAAGGCCCTCTGCCTGGTTCCCTGTAGCTTTGCTTCTCGCAATGAGGGATCTGCCAGAAGGTCCTCGGAGCTGGACCTCAGTGTCCAGGCTGAACAATAGGGGTGGAGACACTCCTTCAGGTCTACTGGGCCCTTGAGGCCGTTTAGGGCTTTCAAGGTCAGCACCAACACTTTGAATTGTGCTCGGAAACGTATTGGGAGCCAATGTAGGTCTTTCAGGACCGATGTTATGTGGTCTCGGCGGCCGCTCCCAGTCACCAGTCTAGCTGCCGTATTCTGGATTAGTTGTAGTTTCCAGGTCACCTTCAAAGGTAGCCCAATGTAGAGCGCATTGCAGTAGTCCGAGCAAGAGATAACTAGAACATGCACCACTCTGGCGAGACACTCATACCACCCTCTCACGCTCCCATAGAGATAAAATGTGCACAGAGTGTATCTTCTCTCTCTGAGGGTCTGTAGCAGCAAATGCTCTACCAGTGAGTAACAGCCCTCCTTCCCTCTAAGGTGAAAACCTAATGTTACTTTTACAACACCCCAACCTCCCAGAACTGGCTAGTTCTTTTGCAATGGGAGTTTAGGAATGACTATGGAGGTGGAAAGAGCCTCTGAATACCCTTCTGGCTGGCCATTGGGACCACTGGCATCAGAGATGGAGCTTCTCTTTACACTGTCCCAGACAAACCCCCCCCATCGCCATTAAGAAGCGGGGGCTTAACAGTCTCAAATTCCCATAAAGGGGAGGCATCCCCTCAACCTCCTCTGCCTCCTCAGAAGCATCCAAAGAGGCGAGGAAAGAAGCTCACTCTCGCTCTCTCTGAATCTCTTTTCTGCACAGAACTCTGCACATCCTCCGAAACCCAGGACTCACTCAAGCAGGTGAAACGCAACCAGCTAAGTTATATGTCGTCTGTGAGCGAAATATTGTCACCTTTCCCTTTCTTTCTTTGCTTCTCTCCCCTCACATTTCCCAAATAAAATTGTTTATACTTTGATATTTGACTTCACTGGTTTACACAGGAATTTGGAGTCTCTCGTTAAAATTATTCCCCATGTGATAGGTGGCATGGCTGTTAAGCTTTCTCTCCTTCATTCTTTCTCTCTCTCACACACAGTTGTTCTGTTCTGCATCCTCTGGGCTTTCAAAACACAAATCTAAAGCTCTTTTTCATTTGACCTTTCTAGAGCTTAAGGGAGGGGTCCTTGTCAGCTGGGTTTAGAGATCTCTTCAGATCACAGCAAATTCGTTTCCAGGCTAGTCGGTTCTGCCCGGACACTGAGGTCCAGCACCGAGGGCCTTCTGGTGGTTCCCTCGCTGTGAGAAGCCAAGTTACAGGGAACCAGGCAGAGGGCCTTCTCGGTGGTGGCACCCGCCCTGTGGAACGCCCTCCCACCAGATATCAAAGAGAACTACAACTACTGTACCAGACTTCTAGAAGACATGTTAAGGCAGCCCTGTTTAGGGAAGCTTCTAATGTTTAATAGGTTTCATATTTTAATATTCTGTTGGAAGCCGCCCAGAGTGGCTGGGGAAACCCAGCCAGATGGGTGGGGTATAAATGATAAATTGTTATTATTGTTATATATAGGATCAGCCTGTGGTTGCAGGCCTGTTGCCATTCTTTCTTGGGGAGAAGACCATTTACAGGAAAAGTGGGTCTGCCAGTAGAGGAAATCTTGGTCTTCCAGGTCTGTGGCAAGCAGAGCCCCAGCTATACAAGGGAGGGGGCAGGACTCCTTGGCCCTCCTTGGCCCTTAGGGATGGTCTCCAGATCCTCCTTGTCCTTCAGCCTCTCACCTCAGGAAAGAGATCTTGGAACCACAGCATGTCCAGGAATGGCAAGACAAAGAAGGGAGGCTCTTTCTTCGGCTCTGGGTATTGAGATTCATCCAGCTGCGTCAGGAAGATCTCAGGAAGATCCGTCTGGAATAAAGAGGAGGAACCATTTTTCACAATGTTCCTCCAAAACATTGCCAAAAATGCCAGTTTCCCCATAAACCCATTAGAGTAGTTAATATGCATTCCTTTCTAAATTAACCATAGTTGCCATGTGTCAGGGGTTCAGGGAGAGAGGCACAGATGAGGGAGGAGACTGAGAGCGAGGGGGAAGAATCCCGGAACGAGGAGGAGGAGGATGACAATGACTTGAGGGTTTCCATGAGTCTCTCAAGTGAATCGGAGGATTCCCAAAAGGGGGCGCCCCTGGTCAGGCCAAGGGGAGCCACAGGGGGGACTCGTCAGGAGCAGGGGAGCAGCAGGGAAACCCCGAGTGGGAGTTGGGAGATCGGGGCCGGCTTCCCAGCCGGAACGGAGTGAAGAGGGTGGAGTTCCCAGTGTGACAGACGAAGCAGAGCAGGAAGCAGAGGGTGGAAGGAGATCGGGGCAAGACGTCCTGCCGGAAGGGGCGGAGAGTAGTACAGAGAGTAGTATAACTGTCAAGAGGAAGGTCAGGGGTAGCAAACGCGCGCCAAGTTCAAATGTGGAGGCGCGCGGAAATGCGGAGAGCCCGGAGGAGGAGCCTGGTCCCAAAGCACGGAGGAGGGGGGAGCAGGCGTCTGGGGACTCAGCGTCAGGGGAATCCAGGAGGGAAGGAACCCAGGGGGGCAGAAAGACCCTGCGGAAAAGGAAGGACAGGAAGAGGTGGACTAGCACAAGCCTCTTAAACTGGTGTGGAGGCGGGACTGATTCAGAGGGGACTTCAGCGGTCTAAGCGTAACAGACGTGGGGCTGCGCGCCTCGGCTGTGGAACAAACAATGTACTTCAATAAAGACTTTTGTAAATAAAGTGGACTTGGCGTTGGTCTCTTGTGAGCTGGGACCTGAGGCGGCCCTGACACCATGGACCAAATTTTCTCCATTCAGATATAGGCAGATATATGCTTCCCCACATTTTTAGCTATTTATATCTTAGCAGCAGTTATAAGGTTAAACACAGTTTCTTGACCATTTTCTGGAATAACATATTTTACATAATATTTAGTAGAAATATTTTTTGTCCAATGGTATGTGACATCCTAATAGATATAATAGCCTGAACCAATTTCCAGAATATTTATTTTTGAGAACAATTCCAGATGTATGTGTAATTTGCTTTATTTAATCCACATCGCTGGCATTTTATCCGATCCTAACTTACCTATTAAGTTCAATTTCTAAGGCATTAAATACTTTAAGCTATTTATCTTTTGTTTGTTTTGTTTATTTAAAACAAACCAAAATGAGGAGAAACCAAAGGAGACCCACACACACACACAGAGAAACAGCCTGACTTGGGGGTCCCTTGCTTATGGGTCCCTTGCCACACGGGACCCTCTCAGGACATCCCTTGCCAGCAGCAGGAGAGAGGAAGGAGGACCATCCCAGGTAAGGAAGAGGTGCCCGCTTACCTGTTTTGTACTCGGTTTGATGATGCTGATCTCTTCAGAAACCCGTGTCCTGGGCTCCTCGTCCTCCTTCCACACTGGGACCGTTCTTTCTGTCTCCTGGCAAAAGCAGAAGGGAAGGTGCAGACCCCCTCGGCCAAGAGGAGCCCTTGTGTCCCACAGTTCCCCACCCACAGACAGCCTCCTGAGATGGCTGCACTTCCCAAGCTAAGCAGGTCTGAACCAGGACAGGTTCCAAGTGGGAGGCCAATTTGGAGCCCTCAGGCATGTCCAACAGGTAGATTGCGATCTACCGGTAGATCACTGGACGTCTGTGGTAGATCACCGGTAGATCACTGGCTCCCCCCAAAGAAGCCAAACAACTTTGAAGTTGTTTGAAGTTGCTCCCCCCAAAGAAGCTCAACAAGTTTGACCTGAACCCCAAAAACTGGGGTAGATCACTGCCAGGGTTTAACTCTTGGGAGTTGGCCACCCCTGGCCTAGAGGGAAGACCAGCAGTTAGAGCTAAGCTGAAGCTGCAGGCATTGCCTTGTGGTTTTGCCCCAGGGTGCCTCAAGCGTGTCTTGCACGCTCCCTGCCAAAGCTTGTCCTCTCTGGGTGCTGGGTCTGTTTCCTGCCTGCTCCTTTCACAGGCTTCCAGGCAGGGTCCCCCCGAGAGCGCAGCCCAGGCCCCCAGCCTCCCCCCAGCAGGCCTGGCACTGAGGGTGCAGGGGGAGGACGCCCTGCTCCGCCTTACCGGCTCCACCACCCTCACGAGTCTCTCATCTGTCTCATCCGCCAGCATCTCCTGGCTGTGAAACTGCAGGGCGGCCACCGAGTTGGGGATGAAGCCAGACGATAGCCTGGGCAGCGGGGCGTGGTGGCTCTCCAGCTCCTGGCAAGGGAGAGCAAAGCAGTTCAGACAGCAGCCGCCTTCCGCACCCCAACGGCAAACCTTGGGGGCTTGCCCCACCCCTTCTGGAATTTTTGTAAACCTTGTCTCATTGGAAAACTGCATAGGGAATATCGGGTGACTTTCGACAGGTGCCTGTGTTTCAGTTCTCGTATTCTTTTGGAAAGTGGGAATTTGCTAAATTCAGCTTTAGGTGTGAGCGGAATTGGATTTCTTCCCCTGCTCCCTCCCGTGAAGGTCACACAGAGCTTGTCAGCCATAGGCACATGCTCTTTAGTGCTCAGGTCTCCCTCGTGGGTGTCCCCCAGAGAGGCACCTGGCTGCTGGACTAGATGAGCCATGGGCCTCATCCAGCAGGCTCTTCTTACAGAGGTCTGCTTTGAAAGCAGAACCTCCATGCCCAGGAACAGTCTACATCTAAATCCCAGGTAATGGGGGGCAACGAGGGGAGAATAGTGTTGCGTTCAGGTCCTGCTGGGGAGCTTCCCTTAATGCCCATCTGGTTGGCCACTGTGAGAACACAATGCTGGACTAGGTGGGCCTGATCCAGCAGGCAGGCTCTTCTTACCTTCTTATGCCCAGCCAGAGCACACCTAAGCAGTGGTCCCCCAGCTCAGCTTTTCTAGGGGAGAGAGGCCCCCCTCGCCCGGCCATGACACTGCCCTGGAAATGCAGCTGCTCAGGGCGCTGCCAGAGAGGAGGAGCATTGCCAGCTCTCTGCCTCAGGCCCTGGCAGCAGACTGGCTTGTGGCCTCTCCCCGGAGCCAGAGGAGGAGGAGGAGGAGGACAAGGGGGAGAGGAAGGAGCCAGCGGCCCAGAGAAGCCTCACAACCTGCAGTCTGAAGTATTCCTTGCTGCCGGAAGGCGGCCTCTCGGGAAAGAAGCCCTTGATGATGACGGAAGATGTCTGGCTCTTCATGCGGGAAACGGAGCCCAGGGACTTGGCCGAAGACTCCTGGCTCCTGGCAGGCGAGGAGGGAGGCAGCTCCTGGCTCCCGACTGGCAGAGATGGATGGGACTCCTGGCTCTTGGCTGCGAAAGATGGAGACGACGTCCGGCTCCTGGCTGGCAAGAGAGGAGAGCCCTGGCTCTTGTCAAGCGACGAAGGAGACCCCTGGATCTTGCCTGGTGATGAAGGAGACCCCTGGCTCTTGTCAAGCGAGGAAGGAGACCCCTGGCTCTTGTCTGGTGACGAAGGAGACCCCTGGCTCTTGTCAAGCGAGGAAGGAGACCCCTGACTCTTGTCTGGTGACGAAGGAGACCCCTGGCTCTTGTCTGTCGAAGGAGACTCCTTGAAGACAACACTCTAGGCACACAATCCAGGGTCGCCCAGGTGAGGCACAGGGGAGGACACCTGCGTACCCCACTCCTTTCCCCCTCACCTTGCTTGCACCTCCTGCCCCCATCTCCCAAATGCCTCCCGCAGCCAGGGAACGGCACAGGACACAGAACCACCCCAACACCCACCAACGTCCACATCGGGGGCCTCGCCAGCCCCTCCTGCGCTGGAGCCCAAAGACGTAGATTACACCCACGGCGGGTGGGCCGTTTCTTATACAGGGGAGGGGGAGATTCTCCCTCTGGCAGTGGCTGAGAGAAATGGGGGACTGAGGGGGTTGGGGGTTCTGTTGGGCTCTGGGGTGGTGTCAGAACTCCAGCGAAGCTGAGAGTAGGAAGATTCTGGACAAATAAAACGAAGTCCTTCTTCACGCACCACAGAGCGAAACTGTGGAACTCCCTTCCTCATGAGGCAATGATGGCCCCAAGCTGTTCGTTTCCGTGGTTTGGTTGGAAGTCACTTTGGGTTGCCTTGGGCAGGATAAAGCTTTCGTCCGGGTGCTGAGGGAGGACATCCCATGAGAGCCGCACCCGCCAATTGCAGCCCCCGAGGGAGGCAGGGATGCGGCAGCAGCAGGTGAGCCAAGGGGGGGCCCCCTCTTACCTTCTCGCTCTTGATGGGCTCCCCAGGGAAACTGGGGGTTGAGGACAGTTGTGAAGGGGGTGAGACGGAAGGACGCATTTTGGACTCTTTGATTGTATCCAAGTCTTTATTCAACTGAATAATAATAATAATAATAATAATAAATTTTATTTATATCCCGCCCTCCCCAGCCTTAGCCGGGCTCAGGGCGGCTAACAACAATAAAACAGTACAAAAGTACAGCATAAACAACATTCTAAAATCATTCATTATAAAAATTAATTAATTCAAGCCACTGGCAACCATTGGGCCAGAGCTCCGCGAAGATTGCCAAAGGAGGGAGTCAGGCTGTGCCCTGACCAAAGGCCTGGTGGAACAGCTCTGTCTTGCAGGCCCTGCGGAAAGATGTCAAGTCCCACAGGGCCCTGGTCTCTTGCGACAGAGCGTTCCACCAGGTTGGAGCCACGGCCGAAAAAGCCCTGGCTCTGGTTGAGGCCAGCCTAACCTCTCTGTGGCCTGGGATCTTTAGGATGTTTTTGTTTGAAGACCGTAAGGTCCTCTGTGGGCATACCAGGAGAGGCGGTCCCGTAGGTATGAGGGTCCTAGGCTGTATAGGGCTTTAAAGGTTAAAACCAGCACCTTAAACCTGATCCTGTACTCCATCGGGAGCCAGTGCAGCTGGTATAGCACCGGGTGAATGTGATCCCGCATCGAAGACCCCGTAAGGAGTCTCGCTGCAGCATTCTGCACCCGCTGGAGTTTCTGGGTCAGTCTCAAGGGCAGCCCCACGTAGAGCGAGTTACAATAATCCAGTCTGGAGGTGACTGTCGCGTGGATCACAGTGGCTAGGTCAGGGCGAGAGAGGTAAGGAGCCAACTGCTTAGCTTGGCGGAGATGGAAAAATGCCGCCTTTGTTATAGCTGCAATCTGCGCTTCCATGGAGAGGGAGGTATCGAAGATTACACCCAAACTCTTAACGGATGGTGTTGGCACTAATTGCGCCCCCGCAAGAGATGGGAGTTGCCCCCCCAATCCCATATCGCTCCGTCCCAGCCAGAGGACCTCTGTCTTCGAAGGATTTAACTTCAACCGGCTCCCACGTAACCATCCAGCCACAGCTTCCAAGCATCTGATCAGTGTGTCTGGGGCCGAGTCAGGATGGCCATCCATCAACAGATAGAGTTGGGTGTCATCAGCATACTGATGGCAACCCAGCCCAAAACTCCGGACAAGCTGGGCAAGGGGGCGCATAAAGATGTTAAAAAGCATTGGGGAGAGTATCGCACCCTGAGGTACTCCACACACCAAGGAGTGGCGCGATGACAATTCCCCCCCAAGTGCCACCCTCTGTCCCCGACCAGAGAGAAACGAGAAAGAAGAAGAAGAAGAAGAAGAAGAAGAAGAAGAGGAGGAGGAGGAGGAGGAGGAGGAGTTTGGATTTGATATCCCGCCTTTCACTCCCTTTAAGGAGTCTCCAAGCGGCTCACATTCTCCTTTCCCTTCCTCCCCCACAACAAACACTCTGTGGGGTGAGTGGGGCTGAGAGACTTCAGAGAAGTGTGACTGGCCCAAGGTCACCCAGCAGCTGCAGGTGGAGGAGCGGGGAAGCGAACCCAGTTCCCCAAATTACGAGTCCACCGCTCTGAACCACTACACCACACTGGCTCTAGGGTGAAGGGCAAGGAAAAGGAGGAGCTCAGGTTAACTTTGCAGGCCAAACTCAGAAGGGTCTTTTGTCAGACTTCAGTCCTCTCTTGGGACTATAATGATTGCTATTAATGACCTGCCCTTTACCCTAAGGTTCCTGGGTGGGTTGCAACATTAAAACACAATGTCATTGTGGGCTGGGGCAGGGCGGGGGGTTCAGTCTGGATGATGCCCCGAGTCCCTTCCAATACTTGGAGCCCTGCATGTAGGGAGGGTTAGAATTCAATAGAATAAATTGCCAAACTAGTCTGACAAGATCCTTTGTAAGACTATTATTACTATTCTTGTAATAGAGAGAAAGAGGGTTCGTTCATGCATATGTGGTGGGAATGTAAGATAGTGAAGGGTTTCTGGGAGAAAATGTATAATGAGTTAAAGAAAATCCTAAGGTACAGTTTTGTAAAGAAACCAGAGACCTTCCTATTAGGGATAACCAGAAAGGAAATAAACAAGAGGGATTTCAAGCTCTTCCAATATGCCATAACTGCAGCGAGAATGCTGATAGCCCAACGTTGGAAACAGGAAAAGTGCCGACTTTGGAAGAATGGAGATCAAAACTAACAGAGTATGCGGAACTGGATAAACTGACTGGAAAAATTAGATTTCAGAAAGATTATAAGTTTTTGGAGGACTGGGGTAAATTTAGAGAGTATTTGGAAAGTGTATGTGAGGAGAATACAACGCTAGTATGCTTTGAAGAGGCTTTGTGAAAAACAACAAATATCGCAAAAAGATAAATGAGGATTCAAATATTACTCAAAGGTGATATTAAAATTAAGAAATGTGTAGATAAAGGAATAATTATGGAAGATTTCAGAGGAGTTGAGGGAAGTTCAACAAATCAAAATATGTGTTGTGGAAAAATGATGATGGGAGAATTTATGGAAATTTTTTTTAATAAAAAACTATTCTTGTTATTCTCTATTAAATTTTTATACCGCTCTTCAACCGAGGATCACAGGGTGGTTTACAATATTAAAATGAAAAAATACATACCATGGTAACAAAGAAAAGCAATGACACCCCATCTCCCCACTGTTTAAAAAGCCATAGGTTGTTTAATTAGCCAAAGGCCTTCGGAGAAGAGGAATGCTTTTGCCTGGCACCTAAAGATATGTAAGGAAGGCCCCAGGTGAGCCTCCCTGGGGAGAGCATCCCACAGGTGGGGAGCCACCACAGAAAAGGCCCTCCTGCCATAAAACATGTCTGTCCTGTATTGGTCTATACAGCCACCGCAGGCGCCAAAACTCTCCAGCGGATTGACTTTACCCCTGAAGATAGATGGAGGCAACACACTAGCTGGCCATGGAAGTGTCCTCATCAGCCTCCCAAAATCCTGTGCTGGGAGGCTAGAGCTGCAACTAAGCGATGGGGCCCTCCAGACTAATGGATGGGCCATTAGTCCTCCACTCCCCACCCCCAGCTGTGTGTGTTTGTGAGCTGGGCTGGGCTGGGCTGGAAGCTGGAGCCCCAGAGACCTGCTTGCTCTGTGCTGGATCCAAAGCTGAGACTGATGAAGAAGCAGGCTGGGCGGGGTGTGGATGCTGCGAGCCCCCCCATCTGATGCTCAGATTGCAGAGATGTGTGAGGGAAACCATCTCAGCATACCAAAGGTCCTGGGTTCAATCCTTCACAGCATCTCAAGCTCAAAGGGCCTGACTGCCCAAATAGCCCACTCTAGAGAGAGTGATTGCTGCCAGCCAGAGAAGACCGCACTGGGCTGGACAGACCAAAGGCAGCAGCTTTAAGTGCGCCCACAACTTCTGGGATCAGGCGAGCACACATTTTAAACAACAGATATTGTGTGTGCCCATTTGTCAGTCCGTGGGCTTCCTGCTTCCATGCCCCCTGCCCCCACCTCTGGAATCTCACCGTTGCCCGACGGATCTTGACCTTGCTGCCCCTGGTGTCCATGCCAGAGAGCATGAGGCCGGGGGAAGGACGTCTTGTGCTGGGGGGAGATTTCTCCGCTTCGTCCAAGGGGGGGCTAGAGCTGGGCTCCAGGACCTCCTCAGGGGCTATCACCACTGGCGGGGGCACCGGAGGGGGCAGCCTCCTCCTCTTCTCCTTGGGGGGTCTCTTTCCCTTTTGCGCCAGGCCTAACTGGGAGACAAGAGGGGCACTCTCAGTCCCCTGCCGCTGCCCCAGCCCCTTCCCCACTCCAGCTGCCCCCCAAAGACCCTCACCTGCTCGCTCTTGGTCCTCCTCACTCCAAAAAGTGGGAATCTCACTGGAGGAGGAATCGGGGTTAAAGCTTCTTTGATTTCAGACACAGACGGGGCTGTTGAGAGGACGGCCTGTGGGCTCCCCGCTGCAGGGGGGCTGGTGTCCTGCGGGGAAGGCGGGAGGAAGGGGGTCTCTCACAAACCAAGATGGCGCCACACAGTTGCCCCTAGGTGCCACCTTGGACAAGGACTCAGTGGCATCACCTCAGGCAAATAATAATAATAATTATAATAATAATAATAATAATAGATTATTTATACCCTGGGGTTCCCCAGCCACTCTGGCTGGCTTCCAACAGAATATTAAAATACTGTGGTCTATTAAACATTAAAAGCTTCCCTAAAGAGGGCTGCCTTCGGACGCTCCGAGGACCGAGGAGGCGAAAGGTTTTGGCAAGCCCTGGCGGAAATGCTACAGCGCAGCCTCAGGGCTGTATTACCCTGGTGGCTTCAAAGGCCTCTCTCGCCAAGGGAAACTGAGGAAGGGCCAGTGGGAGTCAGCCACCGGTCAGAGCCACCGGTCAGAGGGCAGAGACACCAGGCAAGAGACCACATGTCTCCTGAGGCAGAGCATGGAGGGCGGGGGGGGGGGGAGACACACCGCCCTCCCAGTTACCTCCAATGTCTCAGGACCTTGCAGGGAAATGGGGGGAGGGAAGGACCCCAGGAACATGCCGTCTGGCCCATAGAGCTCCGAAATGGACTTCGCCCGGCACATGGCTTCCAGCACCTCATCGGCATTGAAGGTGTCCTCCACCGGGATCTGGGAGGAGAGAAAAGGCGGAGGGGAGGAGATGCAATAAACGCCACCTGTGAGGCGGCCCAACTGGACGAACATGCAAAACTACCCCCCCCCGTCTCTCTTCCATGGCTCTGCAGAGGAGATGCTCAAAGGAGCAAAAGCTCCTGGGAAGTCTGACCTCTTCCTTGCTGGCCTCCCCTCGCCCTTCCATCCAAGGCGGGGAGGGGCTGCAGGACCTCCTCCACGGAGACCCCCTTGCCTGGAAGGCGCCCCTTCCCTGCCACCAAGTCCCATCGACCCCCCAGCCCAGTGAAGCAGCCCAGCCCCACCTCAATTTTGGGTTGTGGCTTGTAGAATATCTGCAGGTATTTCTCAAAGGCCTCTTCCTTCATTTCCTTGGTGGGCCGCGATTTCTTGGTCACACTCACTTTCCCCTTCTGGACCAGCTCCAGATCCTGGTCCCTGTCGGCCATCTGGGAGAGTCCCTGCAAGAGGATGTGGGGCTCAAGGCGTCTCTGCCCCTCTCTCCTCCCTCCCATGCTCTGCCCCATGGCCAGAGAGCCCCTTGCCCAGTCAGATTCAGCCTTGGGCATGTGGGCCTCCCTTCTCCCCCCCCCCTCCAGACACGCTCTCTCCTCTCGCAGCTTTCCCCTTGGGAATTGCCTGATCTTTGCTCTCCCTTGAACCCTCATTTCCATCTCACCAGCGCCTGTTGTGAAACATGGCACACGGGACTCCAGGGCCGCTTCCCCTGGTGCTGAGTGGTGCATGGCTCTTGTGGAGCTGGCCTTGGCACCAGAGAGGGCACTGCTGCCCTTTGAAGCGGCTCTGGTCTCCTCAGGGGGGGCGGCAGGCCTTACCTCCGCCCTGGCGTGGATGTCGCGGAGCACTCTGGACTCCTGCAAGGCCATCCTGCGGGCTCCAGGCACAGGGGACCTGCGTGGGGAGAACGAGAGAGAGAGAGTGACAGAGGAGACGCCAGAGGCAGCTTGGCATCCTGACTCTGGACGCCCTCCCTGGCCTCTCCCCAGGGATGCTCAGCTGCTCCTCTGTCCGAAAACAAGCCCCACCCTGCGCCACCCAGTGGCCTCTTTGCCCCGGGAACTGCCCCCCCCAACAGAACCACAGAATGGTAGATCTGGAAGGGACCCAGCAGGGATCTTTCTCTCTGCCCTCCTTCCTCTCCCTTCTAAAACCAACCTTTCTATGGAGCCTTTGCCACAATACCTCAAGCTCCTGCAGCCCCCCCCCAAAGGCACACTGCAGCTTAGCCTACACAGTAATTGACCAAACAAACACTCTGATTCCCCTGTTTCTTCCCTCCTTCCATTTCCTTTCCCCTCCTAAAACGACAGAATGTAAAGTCCTCGGGGCAGGGACCTGTCGTTTTGCACCCTCAACTTGCCCTGTGTGCCTGGATAGCGCTAGATCCATAGGTGTCCTCGTCTCAGCAGCCCTGCTAAGGGGCACCAGAGTGAGGGAAGGAGGCAGCAGATGCTGTGCCCCTGGCACTGGGTGCTCAGCAAGAAGGCTGCTTTCCGGAATCTTACTCGGTCTCCTCCAAGGGCGGGTCCTGCTTTAGCCGCCGGACGTTCTCCTTGACCAGAGCCTCAAAGTGGGAATCGCTGATGGGGAGAGGGACGCCCTTGAGGGGCTCCAGGAACCTGGCGCACAGCAGCTGCAAGAGACAGGAAGGGGTCGTTGTCCCAGGGCACAGACCTCCCCAGCAAAGAGCATGGGGGCAGCAGCAGGGAGCCTGCCCCCCACCCCCAAGGGACACCAGACCTTCATCCTGTAGTAGTTGGGCAGGTACTTGTTGTGGTGGATGAGGAAGACGTGTTTCTCCAGCCCAACCAGCAGGTCTCCCCAGTGGTTGGCAAAGGCCAGGCTCTCTGGGATGCTGTTCATCTTCAGGTGCCTGCAGGGCAGAAATGGGGGGGGGTGAGCTTGGCTTCCAGGGACCCTTCCCCAAACCCCCGCAAGCCCCGGTTGGGCAGCCAGAGCAGAGGGCCTAGCACAGACTCTCCGCCGTGGACATTAAAACCATAAGGCGCATGGAGGCCGCCTTAAGCTCCGCTTTAAAAACCCCAGCAAAACATTCGGTTGTCACGTGTGGGAAAGGCATGGTGGCTTGAAAGGTCGCTATGGATATAAAGTCTCATCGGATCCTTCAGCCGGGATTCCTGCATTGGGGGGGTTGGGATGGATGACCCAGGGGGGTCCCTTCCAACTCTACAGTTCTAAATAGAAACAAGAAATGGATGGGTCAGGAAAATTAAAGGGAAGGTGGGAAAGGAATTTTGAGAGCAGCAGTGATGGAAACTCCAAATGGGGAAGAAGAGGAGGAGGCTTGTCTGCAGCGATTTTCTTTTGAAGCTTCGGGTGTCGGGAGAGGCGTTGGGGATGGCGGACGTTTCAAACATCCAACGGCCTCCAAAACAATCAGGGGGCACCACACTGTCCTGCAAGCAAAGCAGGCATCCCTGTGTGGGACACGACACAGAGTGGGCTTGCTCCGAATCAAGCCTGATGGATCCCCATGGCGCTTGCTCCCAACGGAGTGGGTGCCAGACTGGGGCTGGGCCCTGGGCGTCTCCAGGTGAGGCTGGGAGAGCCCTGCTCAAAGCCTGCCAGAGCCATTGCTACCAGTCAGTGTAGACCAGGGCTCCCCAAACTTGGGTCCCCAGCTGGTGTTGTACTACAGTTCCCATCATCCCTGAGCTCTGAACCTGTGAGCTTTGGATGATGGGCATTGTAGTCTGACAACAGCTGGAGACCAAGTCTGGGGAGACCCTGGTGCGGCTGATGCTGAGTTGGAGGAACCTGTGGCCTGCAGCTCCCAATGCCCCTGTGCGGAGCTGGAAGGGCTCCTCAAGGGAGGGAGCCCCATTGGGAGGAGGAGGCTGCCCCGGCCCACAGGACACCCCCATTCCCCATTCAGAATCCGGCCCGTCAGTCACCGCAGCAGCTTGTTCTCAATGTCCCAGATCTTCACGGATCCATCTCTGCTGGACGAGGCGAAGAGCTTCAGGTTGGGGCAGCAGCAGAGGCCTGGAGGGAGGGAGGCAGCGAGGGGGCGGCAGCTGTGAGACAGGAGAGCCAAGCCCCCCTTCCCCCCTCCCCCCGGCCTGGCCTTTGCGCCCTCCCGGCTCCCGCGCACCTGTGATGTCGTCCTGGGCGTCGTCTTCGGGTTTGTGCTCGGAGCGCGTCTGCTTCATCAGGTTGTAGTAGACGACGCTATAGGTGGCCGTCTGGGGGTCCTGGAAGGCCACCGCCAGCGTCTCCCCCAGGGAGCAGAGGTGCAAGGCAGGGGAGGCGCAGGAGAAGCTCAGGAGCGGGACCAGGCACTCCGTGGTGTAGGGGAAGACGCGCCACATCTTCACCGTGCGGTCGGCACCTGCCCCGGGGGCAAGGAGAGGAACAGGGTCAGCCCCCGGGGCAGAGGAAGCTCCTCTTTCTTCCTCCTTCTTGCCCCCCCAACCCAGTGTCCCTGGGTTGGTTTCTGCAGATCTACACCATGTTATTGCCTTGAGTTTTGGAGGGGCTGGTCTGCATGATGCACGAGTCCCTTCTAGCCGGGGGTCTTGTTCAGTGGCAGAGCTTCATGCTCCAGCACCAGGAGGGCAGAGAGCAGGCTGGGGCAGGGCTGGTGCGTGTCCTTGGGGCGGGGCATGCCACCTGCAGGGGTGTGGCGCCCAGTGCAGGCGGGGGGCAGCCACGATGGCACCCCACCAGGATTGCGCTGCCGGGGGCGGTGCGCTCCCCCCGCACTCCTCTTCCCCCACCAGTGGTCTTGGTTCCAGCAAATATTCTAAATATCTTATGGTGGATTCCACTGTTGAAAGTCACAGAATTTTGCTGTAGCCACTTAGCAGAAATACCATATTTTTCCGTGTATAAGACTAGGTTTTTCCTCTTAAAAATAATGTCAAAAATTAGGGGGTGTCTTATACACGGATGGGACGCGGGTGGCGCTGTGGATTAAACCACAGAGCCTAGGACTTGCCAATCAGAAGGTTGGCGGTTCGAATCCCTGCGACGGGGTGAGCTCGCATTGCTCGGTCCCAGCTCCTGCCAACCTGGCAGTTCGAAAGCACGTCAAAGTGCAAGTAGATAAATAGCGGGAAGGTAAACGGTGTTTCCGTGCGCTGCTCTAGTTCGCCAGAAGCGGCTTAGTCATGCTGGCCACATGACCCGGAAGCTGTCTGCGGACAAGCGCCGGCTCCCGGCCTCTTGAGTGAGATGAGCACGCAACCCCAGAGTCGGTCACGACTGGACCTGATGGTCAGTGGTACCTTTACCTTTACCTATACACGAATACATCTCCCGCCCTTTTCTTACAACTGAGTCCCCAAAAATTGTTGTTGTTGTTTAGTCGTTTAGTCGTGTCCGACTCTTCGTGACCCCATGGACCAGAGCACGCCAGGCACCTCTGTCCTCCACTACCTCCCGCAGTTTGGTCAAACTCATGCTGGTAACCTCGAAAACACTATCCAACCATCTCATCCTCTGTTGCCCCCTTCTCCTTGTGCCCTCCATCTTTCCCAGCATCAGTGTCTTCTCCAGGGAGTCTTCTCTTCTCATGAGGTGGCCAAAGTACTGGAGCCTCAGCTTCACAATCTGTCCTTCCAGTGAGCACTCAGGTCTGATTTCCTTAAGAATGGATGCATTTGATCTTCTTGCCGTCCATGGGACTCTCAAGAGTCTTCTCCAGCACCATAATTCAAAAGCATCAATTCTTCGGCGATCAGCCTTCTTTATGGTCCAGCTCTCACTTCCATACATCACTACTGGGAAGACCATGGCTTTAACTATACGGACCTTTGTTGGCAAGGTGACATCTCTACTTCTCAAGATGCTGTCTAGGCCTGTCATTGCCCTTCTCCCAAGAAGCAGGCGTCTTTTAATTTCGTGGCTGCTGTCACCATCTGCAGTGATCATGGAGCCCAAGAAAGTAAAATCTCTCACTGCCTCCATTTCTTCCCCTTCTATTTTCTTGCATCCCTGTATTTATATCAACCTCTGAACTGCTAAATTCCTGGCCCCTATCTCTCTCTAAGTCCTACTGAAGGGCACAAATCATTGAGACGTTTAGGCTGCAAACTGTACCCTCCTTGCAGTGGGGCAGGAGAGCTGAAAACATTGCCAGTATAGCATACTTATGAGAATCTAATGCGCACCTCAATTTTCAAAACCCTGAAACCAAAAAAGGATTTGCTGGCGATTGTAAATGCGCCATCAAATCCAATGTGCACCCTAATATTCACGATGTAAAAAGGTGAGCATTACACTTGAGTAAATGTGATATTTCACATCTGGCAACCAAGGTGCCCCCTGGGTTTCAGAGAGCGTATGGGCAGCATAGCTGTCAGCTTTTCCCTTTTCTTGCGAGGAATCCTATTCGGAATAAGGGAATTTCCCTTTCAAAAAGGGAAATGTTGACAGCTATGATGGGCAGGCGAGTCTAAAAAGCCCCAGACACAAATTTTCACGGCCCTCTGGCAGCTCTGGTGGCTCATTGACCAGAAGCGATGTATTTAGCATTAACTCTGGAAGGGTAGATTCGATTCTGACCAAGCTAAGTCTCCCAGAGCAAAATATCCATCCAGGGGCTTCTATGAATTTACCTCATCCTCTTTTAAAGCCATCCATGTTGGTCAGGGTCTCCTGGGGGAGGGAGCTCCAGAGCTGGACTACCCAAAGATCTTCTCTGACCTTTGGAGACACCAACTATAGAGGGCAGAAGGGGCTTCATCCCCCTCAATATTTGTGGGTCGGGGGTCTGAGCTCCTCCCTGTATTACTGCCGGGCAGCACTCATGTGCCTGGGGGGGCAGGATGCATGGAGGGTGAAGATCACCCTCTGCACCCCCCACCCCTGATATTTGGGTTTGCCTAACCAGAGGACTCACCTGCCGAAATGATACACATCTGCGTGGGGTATTCAGCCAAGGCTGTGACCGCTTGGGAGCCGTGAGCCTCCACCTTGTACCTGTCTCGGGCCAGAAACCACTCCACCACCGTCAGGAAGCCCGTTTTGTGCCCCAAAATGAGCAGGAACCTGGGGGGGGGGAGAGAGAGAGAAGCGTCCTTTGATAAGTATGTTCAGACAGATATGCATGATGGAATGGCAGCTTCTGGGGTCGGGGGAAAGAAAAGCCCAATCTGAAAAGTCAAATTCAAAAAGAGAATTTTGCTGCAACTTGGGTTGACTTTATAGATTTCGTGAGCATAGCCAAACCTGGTAATCTTCTTGCACCAGCGCTTTGAACTGTGTGCCCTGCATCATTTCCTAACCCCCCCCTCTCCCCGCCCAGGTTCTTGGGTGAACTTGGCTCACCTGGGGGGGGGGGTAACATCCTTCTGCCACTTAGCACTTCTTTAGTTCTATGAATAGTCTAAGGTTTCATTCTTCTTCTAATTTCAAGCCACCTCAAAGCATTATTTATTTTAAGACTTTGCATGATATTTTTGTTTTATTTCCTTTTTTTATGTGTATCATGACTTGGTATAGCTATTACTTGTAGTTTGATTAGTTTGTCATATTCTATCATGATTTTATATGTTGTAAAAGGTAAAGGTAAAGGGACCCCTGACCATTAGGTCCAGTCGTGGCCGACTCTGGGGTCGCTCATCTCGCTCTATTGGCCGAGGGAGCCGGTGTACAACTTCTGGGTCATGTGGCCAGCATGACTAAGCCGCTTCTGGCGAACCAGAGCAGCGCAGGGAAACGCCGTTTACCTTCCCGCCGGAGCGGTACCTATTTATCTACTTGCACTTTGACGTGTTTTCGAACTGCTAGGTTGGCAGGAGCTGGGACCGAGCAATGGGAGCTCACCCCGTCATTGCGGGGATTCAAACCACTGACATTCTGACTGGCAAGTCCTAGGCTCTGTGATTTAACTCACAGCGCCACCCACGTCCGTGATTTTATATGTTGACTCAACACCAAATCAGTGATTGTGCGTGTTTCTAAAGGGGAAATTATAGTTTTGGTGTTCTACAGCTCCTGCTTTTGAAATGTGATGTTTGGTGTTCTTATTGTTAAAATATTAATAAAAAATACAGCATTAATAAATAAAAAAATAGCGGGGGGTGGAGCAAAAGGCAGGCAGACATGGGGAATGTAAAATACAGAATTCAAGGCACATGGAAAAGCTGTGTCTGTTGTGGTCTGCTGTGTGTCAGGAGGAGAGCCCGGGTGCCTTGGCCCTTCCAGCAGAGCGGGGAGCCTGGGCACTGCTAGGCAGGGCAGACTCTGGTTTTCAGCATCCCATGTGCCGGGGCGCCTGGAGGTCCTGCTACTGGGAGTTTAGGAATGGAGTTGCAGGGGAAGCTTTTAATATCTGATGAATTATTGTATTTTAATGTTTTGCTGCCCAGAGTGGCTGGGGGAACCCAGCCAAATGGGTGGAGTATAAATATATTATTATTATTATTATTATTAACCCCGCAGGCTCTTCTGAGGGTCTGCAGACGAGAGTGTGGGCTGCCAAATTAACTCATAAGGGAACGTTGGCCAGCAACTGCTTGCTGCACCCCAGGCAGGATGAAGGAGTCGTTGGGAGGGAGGGTGGCAGCAGCAGCAGCGCCTACCGGAGAGTAAGACCCACTGGCAGCCCTGGCAATGAAGGAGGGGAGAGGGGCTTCTCTCAAAAGATGTTAAATTATTTTAGTATGCCACAACTGCTGCTCGTATTTTGTTAGCTAAAAAGTGGAAAACCCAAGAATTACCAATGATAGAAGAATGGCAGATGAAGATGGTGGATTTTTCGGAGCTAGCCGACCTAACCAGAAGAGTCCGTGACCAGAAGGAGGAGGAGTATCAGGAAGAGTGGATTAAATTTAATGATTACTTAGATAAATATGTTAAGTTAAATTAACTGAAAACAGCTTGCAGATACTTAATTGGCTTAGGATTTTATTTATGTTAAGTGATGAATTAATATGTTTAATTTCATAATGTGAAGATTTAAGGATGTTAATGTTTAAGTTAAATTTTATAAGAACTGTCATTTGGAAAACCGTTAAAAGGATATGCAATGAAATCCAACCAAGGGGAAGCGAGGAAGTCACTTGACAATGTTAATAAGTGTAAGTTTCAATAAGGCTATGATTTATGTTTGTTTGTTTGTTTATAATGTTGTGAAAACCAATTTAAAAATTTTGGGGGAAAAAGAGAGGGGCTTCTCTCGAGTCCCACCCCGTCCATCTCACCCGCTTTACCTGTTTTTATCCGGGTGTTTCAGCCACTGCTTCTTGTAGCCTTTGCAATCCAGCACATCCAGCCACTGGGAATAGGCCTTCTCCGGGTCCAGCACGTGGCTGTAGACCAGGAGGCAGCAGGGGGCAGACGCCCAGGTGTGGCCCGGAAGGCTCTTCTTGACCTGCATGGGCTCCTGGGCGCTGTTGACCCACAGCACGGCCCCATCCTCCATCAGCACAAAGAGGGTCTCCCGGGGCAGGCAGTACGCCACGTCCAGGCCCTGGCGGGGGCTGTCCAGGAAGAGTATGGCGATGATGACTCCGCTCTGAGCGTCCACCATCCGCACGGTGGAGTCCTGGCAGACGCAGAGGGCGCGGACAGGGAAGCTGCCCAGGGCCTCCAGGTTGACGCAGCTGATGCGCCGGACGCGGCAGCCCACGGGCGTGTACAGCGAGTAGAGCTTGTTGATCTTCCAGAGGGTCAGGGACGAGCCGGAGACGGAGACGACGTGAGAAAGGGTGACGGCCTTCAGGGTCTCCACGGGCTCCGACAAATGGACCTGGTCCACCTGGTCAATGGTGTTGAGGTTCCAGGTGCGGATGGTGCCGTCCTGGGAGGCGGAGAAGATGAGGGGCCTCTGAGGGTAGATGGTCACAGCGACGACCGGACCTGGGGGCACAAGAAGCTCAAAGGGGGCCAGAGCCAGTCACAGCCACGTGGGGATGGAGACAGGAGTGGATCGATGCCTTCACGCATCTTCAGAAGAGCTCACTGTGAGAAGCCAAGTTATAGGGAAGCAGGCAGAGGGCCTTCTCGGTGGTGGCACCCGCCCTGTGGAACTCCCTCCCACCAGATGTCAAAGAGAAGAACAACTACCAGACTTTTAGAAGACATCTGAAGGCAGCCGTGTTTAGGGAAGCTTTTAATGTTTAACAGACTACTGTACGGTGGTACCTCGGGTGAAGAACTTAATTCGTTCTGGAGGTCTGTTCTTAACCTAAAACTGTTCTTAACCTGAAGCACCACTTTAGCTAATGGGGCCTCTCGCTGCCGTAGCATCGCCGTAGCACGATTTCTGTTCTTATTCTGAAGCAAAGTTCTGGTACTATTTCTGGGTTAGCAGAGTCTGTAACCTGAAGCGTACATAACCTGAAGCGTATGTAACCCAAGGTACCACTGCATTTTAATATTTTGTTGGAAGCCGCCCAGAGTGGCTGGGGAAACCCAGCCAGATGGGCAGGTATAAATAATAAATTATTATTATTATTATTATTATTATTATTATTATTATTATAGCTTCAGGAAGGAGAAAAGGCTCCACCTCGTCCTGCTTTGAGCTCCTTGTTCTCCTTACAACCCAATACTAATTCATATAGCTCGATGTTTTGGCCAGGATAGGGATTCAAATGTCCAACGGTGGCTCAGCAGACCGTATCAAAGCCCTAGAGACATTCAACATCAACAACTGCTAGGCAGCCTTATGCCTTTTAGCAGCTGTGTGCTAGGCAGAAGTTCAAGAGGTTCAGCCTCCCATCGTTGTATTTTCATGTTGGGGAAAACTCCCCCATTGACTTTCTGGCCATCACACTATCCTGTAGGAGGAAAGAGGGGCCACTGCAGCCCGGGCTGCCCCCGTGACGATGAGGCACCCCTCTTGGACACGCCACTCCTGCGAGGGAGGCAGGAGCCAGAGGTGTCCCAGCCTAAGGGGGAGAGAGGCGTTGGTCTCTTGCCAAAGGCCTTCCTAGCGGCCGGGGGGGAGGGAGATTCTTCAGTTGCCCTTCTCTCCGCATCCTGGCTGAGAGTGACGCACCCACGCTCACCCGTGTGGCCCACAAAGACCATCTGAATGTGCCAGTTCTTGTCCCAGACCTTGATGGTTGTGTCCCGTGAGGCCGTGATGGCGCAGCCGATCACTTCGCAGTAGGTGAGGTCTGTGATCACCCTGGGAGAGAAGACGAAGAAGAGCAGCCCGGGTTAAGTCAGGTCCTTCTTGGACTGCGTGGTCTCCAGGATCCCTTCCAGCTCTACCACTCTATGATCTTATGCTTCCATGGACCATGCAGACCAGCCCTCCGCTTCCCAAAGCAGCTCAGCCAGGTGGCTCTGGGGTATTAGCGGCAGGACACAAACCAAGAACTGCCCCCCTTTTCAGAGCCCCAGGGTTCAGTCACCACCACCCCAACTTGTGGGAGAGAATTCTGGACGTTTGTTGTGCTTTGTGCGCGAAGAGACGTTCTCTCTCTCTCTCTCTCTCCCGTCTCTTTGGGATCTACTTCCCATTGGCTTCCTTGGATAAATGCACCCCCTCCCTCCCCAAGTCCCAAGTTGTTTTGGGTTGCCCTGGGCAAGATAAAGTGACTAACAAATTTAAGAAATCATAAAAACAAATAACGCTGGGGCCACAGGAGGTCAAGTGGAGGTGCTTCTCAGTCATGGGGTGGGGTTGGGGTCAAACTAGCCGCAGCCTGGGTGGTGCGCAATGGAAAATTCCACTGGGCCATTCGGAAGAAGCTCTCTAAGTGCGTTAATGATTAACTGATGATGTTCTCTGCTCTTACAGGTGAGTGTTTAACCTTAAGTCACATGATTAAGGTATTCAATTGCAAACTTGCCATTTTGAAAGGGAGTTGCCTTTTGGCTCTTTGTTCCCAGGAACAGAAGGAGAAGGAGGTGTAAATTACCCTCTCTGGGAGCTGTATAGACTTAGGCTGGATCCAGGCTCACGCAAGCAAGCTATGGAATAAACATACACCGGTAGCTTTGATTTTTGCAGATTGTAATTATGTTATATATTTAAGAAGAAGAACCTGTGCTTGAATATGCATACACTTTCTGGAGGTACTATTGTTTTGTACCTGTTTTTGAAGAAGTTCCAGTTAGTGAAGCTTTGAATCTGATTTATGGGTCCAAATAATTTGTATTCTAATAGGATTCAGTTTTTATGCATCCGATTGCTTCAAGCTGCACAATATTAATATCTGCAATAATTATCTCCCTTAGTGGGTTGTGCAAGCCATTGCTTCGAATGATGCTTTTTATAAAGGAGGGTTGGGAGGCCACTGGAAATGAATTAACAGAACCAAGTGGGTGGCAGACCAGAAAAGTTTGGGAACCGCTCCTTAAATAGTCCAAGACGGAACAAAATGGAACCTGCCCCAGCTTTGCCCCCAAGAGAGCAGCACTGAAAGCCCATCCTTCCATGGGGGCAGCCTGTTCCCAGTGGGGGCCTCTCTCCTTGCTGGGAGGCCGGTTCTCTGCAGGGCCGGAGAGGAGCCTCACCTGTTGTGGAGCTCCTTCTTGAAAGAGAGGAGTTTCCCATTGGAGATATCCCAGGCAGCAGCGCCCATCGTGCTGGAGGTGAAGCAGCGCTGGGGCTGCAAGCTGCTGGTGTCCAGGGCGATGTGGGAGAAGACGTCTCCGGGCCCCAGGCCCTCGCTCAGGACGACGCGGCACTGCAGGCTCCGGCAGCCGTAGCGGAAGTCCCAGATGGTCAGGTTCCCGTCCCCCGCGGTCACGATCCGGTTCAGGTTCTCGCTGTAGATCCCGCATCGGATGGGCATGGCGGAGCGGACCTGGGAGAGCAGCTGGAAGCCGGAGTCCAGGACCTGGAGGCCGCTCTCGTCCCAAGCCACAAACTGGTTGACCAGGGAGGTGTGCAGGATTCCCGCCATGGGGGCAGGGGCCCTCAGGCAGCTCTTGTAGGAGCCCTCCTCCTTCAAGGAGTGCAGCTTGTTCTCCGAGTCGAGCACCACAAAGCGTTTCCCGTGCACATCATGCGTCACGCACCGCACGGGGCTGCCCAAGGCTGAGCGACTCAGGTGCTGCAGGCCGTGGCTCAGGTAGATGGGCTTCAAGTCCTCCTTCTTCATCTGCAAGAGGAAGACGAAGGACAGGCAGCGTTGGCCCCACCACCAGCAAGAGCATCGGGCCGAGTGGAGCGCTCTCTGCATGCGCTTATTCCACGACTGCATGAGCCTCGGGTCCCTTCCAACTCGACCATGTTATGATTCCTTTTCTGGAAGCTTCATGGGAGCTGCCCGTTCCTTGGACATGGGCAGAGACCCCTATGGGCACCAGGGGCTCAGGCCAGTGGCAGAGGAAGGGGTGTGTGGCCAGCCCTGGGTGTCATCACTGAGGGGGGGGGTGACAAAATGAATTTTAAAAAAATTGGGCTCACAAAACTTTTTAGGAGTGATGTGGTGGCTTAGGTGCTGCAGGTTCCACGCTGCCTGTAACAGCAGCGTGGGACTTGTGTCTGCCTACTGCCTCTCCCTCTACCTTAAGGTCCATAAATAACAACACCCTAGAGGCCCTAAGGAAGTCAGATTAGCCTCAACCAGAGCCAGGGCCTTTTCAGTGATGGCTCCGGCCTGGTGGAACGCTCTGTCTCATGAGACCAGGGCCCTGTAGGATCTGATTTCTTTCTGCAGGGCCTGTAAGACAGAGTTGTTCCACCTGGCCTTTGGCTTGGAATCAACTTGATTCCCTCCCCCTCTTTCCTTTTCCCTTTCTCCTCCTCCCTCCCCCTCTTTCCTTTTCCCTTTCTCCTCCTGTGATGGAACTCCTATTTGGGGACTTCCCTGGCTTTTTTCTGGCCCACGTAGGACCAGTCTGGATAGTTGGCCTTGGTACAGACTTGACGTTTTCATCCCCCAAAAGTTTTTGATTTGAGTTCCTACTGAAATGAGACTGCATTTTAATGTTGTATTTTAATCTTGTTTTTAAGTTGTATTTTAATCAATTGTTTTTATACCTGGTGTTTGCCGCCCTGAGCCCGGTCTTGGCTGGGGAGGGCGGGGTATAAATAAAATTTAATAAAATCTAATAATAATAATAATAGAGGCTCCAAGCATCAGAGAGGCTTGACCCCCCCCCCATGGGCGCAGATCACCCCCCCTCAAGCTGCAAGACACGCCCCCGCCCCCGGCACCCGAGCGGTTAGCTACGCCACTGACTATAGCTGTGAGGTCCCAGAGACCTTGGAGAGCTCTTGGGGATCAGGAGGCTGGGAAACACTTCGATGGCAGAACAAAACATGTTAAGGAAGGTCCCACAAAGGGAGCGGCGAGTATTGTCTCCTTCTGCGAGGGGGCTCAGAATGGGAGGCAGAGGAGTTCAGGACAACCAACAGGGCTTGGCCCTGACGTTCTCTTTCATGGTCATGGTCAGCTACTTAGATTTCTTTAAAAGGATATGTGCCACATTCATGGAGTAAAAGGAGAGCAAAAGCTGCTGGCTTCAACAGCTGTGTTTTACTGCCACCTGTTGGAGGCAGAAAATGCCTCTGAAGGCCAGGTGCCAGGAATCCCAGGTGAGGAGAGGAGAGCCCTGAGGCACTCAGGTCTCACCCAGGCATCTTGTTGGCCCCTGATATTCAGAGCACATTTGCAGGGAGCAGGAAGAGAGGAATAAGGTACCAACGGATAACCATTCAAGGCACTGGATGTTCCCTTCCGCAAGAGGGTTCATGTGAGCCCCCTCCAAAAGCCTGTTTGCAATGGCAGGAAACATCTCTGGGACACCTGAAGCAGCAGGATACTTGAGACAGGTGCATGGTGCCGTTTTCTGAGCAGGTCCGAGCGGCTGGTGCCCTGGCACCTCTCCTCTCCTGATCCCCAGGTGCTGAGGATTTCACTGAGACACAGCTGCCACACCTGGATCCCTCTGGCCAGACCGGCCTCTTCCCCAATAAATGTACCAGGTCCAGAGCGCGGCGGAGGCGTTTCTGGAGTTTGATCCAGTGCAGGTACGCCCTGCTTGGCTGAGCCTTGGGTACCGGCTGTGCCTCATTCTGCTTCTCCTCCTCCGCTCCCACCTCCTTCGTATTTTCAAAGGGCTCTGAGGACAGGCGCAGCCGCTTCCTTCGCTCTCCACGAGTGGCTGTTGGAGGAAGGTGGGAGCTGATAACGATGTGACTCACAAGTGACCCGTCGGTTCCCTCCACACCCCTGTGAGATGCTGTTCCGTTCCCCCCTTTTTACAGGAGGTACTCATTTGTACAGGGGGACGCGGGTGGCGCTGTGGGTTAAACCACAGAGCCTAGGACTTGCTGATCAGAAGGTCGGCGGTTCGAATCCCCACGACGGGGTGAGCTCCCGTTGCTTGGCCCCTGCTCCTTCCAACCTAGCAGTTTGAAAGCACGTCAAAGTGCAAGTAGATAAATAGGTACCGTTCCGGTGGGAAGGTAAACAGCATTTCCGTGCGCTGCTCTGGTTCGCCAGAAGCAGCTTAGTCATGCTGGCCACATGACCCGGAAGCTGTACACTGGCTCCCTCGGCCAGTAAAGCGAGATGAGCGCCACAACCCCAGAGTTGGTCACAACTGGACCTAATGGTCAGGGGTCCCTTTACTTACTCATTTGTACCTATTTGTCTCTGGCTCTCTCCCTCCCCACACAAGCCCCTGAGAGCATCACCCCTCAGGGACCGTCCTGGCTTCGCTCAGCAGCATGATGAGGCTGGTGAACACACCCAGGGGCAGGGTCTGGACCCCCCAGGGCTGCTATAAACACCACCTCCACCCCGATGCAACCCTGCTTACAGCTTCTGTGTTCCGCCTCCATCATCCCTGTAAGTTCTGCCTTGGTCTGGACAGCAGACTCCTCGTATCAGGGGTGAGCAGAGCAGCTGATCCACACAGAGGATGCTGAAGGGCAAAGGGAACCAAACGCCTTCTTAGAACCTGCAAAGCTGGACTTGGAACCAGCTTTCAAGGCACGGGGTCCGCACTGGAACCTGGAAAAGTAGCAATAATATATATATTTTTAATAATGATGTTATTAAAAGCCTAGCCACCCTAGGTAACCATTAAGCATGAGAGTGTTTCTGTAGAAATGCAGAGGGTTTTCAGCTCATCTGTTGGAAGCGACAAGGCAGAATTGCCAATTATAGTCCATATTTATTGGAGGTACTGTACCGTGCCTTTTCATATGTACATCCAGCTCAGTTCTCCCCACAACAGTAGGCCTGTCATAGGGAATTGGGGAGAAGATCTAATGAGAGCCACCCATCCTAGGTCTCATCGCACATCAGCCTAAACCATGGATTCTTTAAGAAACCATAAAGTCACCATGAGTTTTGTCCCGATGGTGGTGGCGATTTATTATTATTATTTCTTACCCTCCCTTCACCATAAGGTCCCAGGGAAGGTTGCAACCATTTAAAATTCAGTATTAAAAACAGTTTAAAACCAATTACAATCACAACTAGAGAGCATCCTATCTCAGCACATAGCTGTCAACTTTTCTCTTTTCTTACGAGGAATCCTATTTGGAATAAGGGAATTTCCCTTAAAAAAAGGAAAACGTTGACAGCTACGTGAAAACCAGCCTGGTCAATTGTTCAATGTACGAGATGCGCTTTCCATCTGAAGGGAGCTCAGAATAACAATGACCTGCTACATGCAAATCCACAAAATGCAGGCCAGTGTATCATCAGAAGACCCCAACGACACACACACAGAGATCTTAGTGAAAAGCTGTAGCACCCATTTCTTACACAGCTTCTCCCCCCTGAAAAAGTGCAGGTACCCCTCTAGAGGACCACCCTCTGGAGCTCAGGCCCAAACACCTGACAACTCCACTTTCTTCCAGAGCGACAGCCCCATTTCTCTCAGGAAGCCCTCGCAAAGGGCAGGCTGCCCCCCCTGCACGCATTTCAGGCTGGGGTGGTGGTGCGCCTGAGGCCCTCACAGGCCTCAGCATGGCCGCCCGCAGCTCAGGCTGCCTCCAGGAAGGGCACAGGATCAGGGCCTGGGAGGAGGAGCTGGCACCTCCAGGGGAGCCAAGCCCTGCCCAGGCTTTTGCCCAGCCCCATCCCTGAGGGGCAGCAGCAGGAGAAGAGCCTCCCCTCGTCTCCTTTGGCTCCTGGGGCAGCACACTGCCCACCCGCAAGCTGGCAGCATTTACCTGGGGCCTGCGGGAGCCTGGACCGGCCGAGCCACGTTGCCATGGAGACAGGCGTTCTGTTGACTAGCAGGGCAGGCTGGGCCTGGTCCTCGGGGCAGGAAACGCAGCCGGGGAGGGATGCAGGCGGGCGCAGGGAGCCCCCCCAGGTTGGGCACGGGGCTTGGCATGCCCAGAGGGGGTGCAATGAGATGCCAGCCAGTCCTCAGGAGGGAACAGAGGTCCCTGCCTGTCCGCACTTGCATGTTGGCCCAGGGATGCCAACCTCCTGAGTGTGGACAGAGGGAGGGCGAGGAGGGCGGCCAGCTTAAGTTTTCCCCAGCCCTGCAGATCAGTGAGCATCCCTTTGGTCTCCTAGGTGGCCGGGCTGTGGTCTGCCTTCTCTGATGAAGTTTTTATTGCTATTAATTTACTTATATATTGTGTTTCCACCCCACTTTTTCCTTCAAGGAGCTCAAGGGGGCCCGTATGGGTTTTCTTCCTTCTCATGTTCTCCTCAGAACAACCCTACAAAGTAGGCTAGGCTGAGAGGCAGCGACTGGCTTCAAGGTCATGCCCAGCCAGCTTCACAGCTAAGCAGAGATTGGAATGCTGGTCTCTCCCAGATCCTGGCAGGGCGCTCTAACCACTGCCCCACCCTGCAACCCAAGGAGGTCTTTGAGGTAGGGGTTGCCGTCTCTCGCCCCAGCAAGGGGTCAGTTTCCTCAAGAGCCCCAGAAGAGGGAGAAAGGTTGCATCCGGACTCAGTTCACAGTTAGGGGGTCTTCCTTCTAGGACACCCATGCACCTTTGGGGAGAGGGTGCAATTCAAAAGGAGGCTCCGTATTGTTAGCGGAGAAGGAGCTGCTTCTCACGAACGCACCAGGAGCAGGAAGCCAGGCTGTGGCCCCCCAACCAGGCTCTGCCCCCTTCAGTGCCCACCTTTCGGAATGAGTTCTTGAAGGGCAGCAGGAGGGAAGCAGGAGAGGATGGGGAGACTCACCTGTGAAGAAAAGCTGCAGCGTTTTGGGGAAGGAAGATTAAGGGGTGACATGACAGAGGTTCATGGAGACAGTTGAGAGAGAGAAGTTCTCTCCCTCTCACAACCCTGGAACTTGCAGACATCCCAGGAAGCTCAATGTTGGGAGATTCAGAAAGTCCTTCTTCACACAGCGCAGTTAAACCGTGGAACTCCCTCCCCCAGGAGACAGTGGTGGATGGCTTTGAGAATTAGGCAAAGGGGTACCAATAATAATAATAATAATAATAATAATAATAATAATAATAATAATAATAATTTATTTGTACCCCGCCCATCTGGCTGAGTTTCCCCAGTCCATTCTGGGCGGCTCCCAATCGAGTGTTAAAAACAATACAGCATAAAATATTAAAAGCTTCCCTAAACAGGGCTGCCTTCAGATGTCTTTTAAAGATAAGATAGCTGCTTATTTCCTTGACATCTGATGGGAGGGCGCTCCACAGGGCGGGTGCCACCACCAAGAAGGCCCTCTGCCTGGTTCCCTGTAACCTCACTTCTCGCAATGAGGGAACCGCCAGAAGGCCCCCGGCGCTGGATCCCAATGGCTGCCAGCCCGGGTGATTCTGCTCTGCCTCCATGGTGGCTCTGCTCTGCACCCGCAGTTGCGAGGAATCAATGCTTCCAAACACCTGCCACTGGAAACCTGGGTGCTGGCACCCTAGAAACCCCGGCCAGCTCTCCCTTGCAGGGCAACAGCACAAAGAGTAGGCTAAGGGCCGTGAGTCGCACACCACTGGCACCAGATCAAGCAGCTGCCCATGGTCTGTGTCCCCTGTGGCTTCCTGGAACCAGCAGGAACAGGGAAATGATGTGCAGGAAGCATTCAGGTGCCACAGGTGACCGCGCCCCCCCCCATGCCAAAGCAAGCTTTTAAGGAACATTGTGGGACTTCTGTCAGGAAGGGGGAATACTGACCAGGACGGACATTTGAACCCAGCAGTTGAAATTGAGGCAGGCCCAGTTGAATTCCATTAGCCTTCCCTACCACAAGGAGTCAGAAGAATATAAAATTGCCAGCATCTTTTCCTCACAGCAGCTGACCAGATATCCTTTCTTTCTTTCCTTCCTTTATACACCACCTTTATCTTCCAAGGATCTCAAGGCGGCCTGCGTGGTTCTCCTCTCCATTTCATCCTCACAACCACCCTGTGAGGGAGGTTAGGGCTTTTTTGAGAGCCCAGCAGGCACTAGAGTTTGTTACACACCCTGTCTCTTTACCCGCCTACATTTGTTTTGGGGCAGGAGACATACGGAAGGACGAGGGCAATGTTAATTGGTTGAGAATGATTTATGTAGAAAGGTGGGGAGAACGTATTAGAAATAAAGGTTGAGCACAGTCCCCCGAATACCCCCCCAGCAGTTGGTGGAGCTGCCCCCTTGTCCCACAAATTAAGGCAGACTTGGTCTGAAATGCTTGCAGTGCTGCAACTTTGCCCCCCTCTCAAATGTCAGTGGAGAAACAGGAACTTCAGAAGCAGATGCAAAACGCTGAGAGTCACCACTGGCAACATCTCTCCCACCCAGTTGGCACCAGTGGACTGAAGCAATTCAAAGCAGAGGGTCTTTTGCCAGAATCGAATTTTGGCATAGGCCTAACATGGGTGGCGCAGTGGTCTAAACCACTGAGCCTCTTGGGCTTGCCGATCAGAAGGTCGGCAGTTCGAATCCCCACAACGGGGTGTCCCAGCTCCTGCCAACCTAGCAATTCGAAAGCACACCAGTGTAAGTAGATAAATAGGTACCACTCCGGCGGGAAGGTAAACGGCGTTTCCGTGCGCCGCTCTGGTTTTGCCAGAAGCAGCTTAGTCATGCTGGCCACATGACCTGGAAAAACTGTCTGTGGACAAATGCTGGCTCCCTCGGCCTGTAAAGCGAGATGAACACCACAATCCCAGAGTCATTCGCGACTGGACTAAACTGTCAGGCGTCCTTTGCCTTTTTTCTTTTTTCTAAACACTGGCTTCCTGGTCTTGCAGGTTCCTCCTGAAGACGGGGCCTCCAGCTCTGGCCTGAGGCTGCTCCTCCCCCAGTAACCCCATGCAGTGGAGGCGAGGAGGGCAAGCTTCAGATTACACAGACACCCTCCTTGTTGAGACGTTCTTGTCCCGGCAGGCATTTTAAGGAACTGTTCTGGTTTACGATACTTTTATTATTTCAATGTCTATATGGTTTTTAGACCACTTAGAAATGCTACTGATTAAATGGTATATAACTGTCTTAAATAAATAACACACACACAAACACACACACATACAAACCAGTTAGATTGAAGGCTTGACTGTCTAGGCTCAGTGAAGATACAACTGCCCCACGTCCCTCTAGCAAGGTGTGAGCCAGGACTGGCTGACCTTTGCATGTTGGGGGCAGGGTGGAGGAAGAGGCCTCAGAGTACTGTCGCATGTGGATGATGTCACCACCCCCCAACCCGTGAGCCACACTGTGGTCCAGACCCAGACCCCTGATGTTGTGCCAGTTCAGGGGCAAGAGTGCTATTTCCCAACCCTCCAAAACTACCCTCTGTCTGTCCACACATACAATTCACCACTGGGATATCAAGGCAGACTTACCAGGGACAGGGAGAGAATTCTAGAAATCATTTTGCTCTGTGGTTCTTTGCCTGCCCCAAAGAGAGTGAAAGAGGCTGGGCCAGAAATGCAAGAGCAATCCTGAAGGAGGAGGCTGACCCACAGAAGCGCACAACACCCCACCTGTTGCGCTCACAGCTACGGCTTCCAGGGAACAAATAAGTTCTGAGAGGGCTGTGGGGGGCAGTCACAGAGCAGACCCTTCCCTCTGGCACCCTCTCCCCCTATCCGGATGCTCCTTCGAGGAAACAGAACGATGTCAAGTCGCAGGGAGAAAAACGTTTATAACTGCAACAATAAAATTGCTAGGCAACAGAATTAAACAGGAGGTGGCAAACAAGCCAGCGGATCTAAAGGGAAAGAGGCCAAGGGGTGCTCCAAAATCACTTGCTGCCTAGCACAGGGGCAAGGGAAGCAGCGGGAAGCAGCAGCGGGGAAGCCTCAAGGGGACCAAAGGCAGGCTACTTCTCAATTCAACCTTTTTTTTGGGGGGGTGGCAAACAGGGGACCAGGCCTGTTGTTCTTGGCAGGTTGCTCCAAATGGTGGGCCTGGAGTGATTTTGCCCAGATGAGAAGCCAAGGGATAGAGGCCCCTACAGCCATAGCCCTCTGGAATCAGATCACAAGACTGCAGAAAAGACGGCAAGACACACCCTGCCCCCCTGAAGGGAATCCAAGTCAGTGCAAGAGAAAGGGGGGCACTTTCACAGCCCCACAGTATGATGGCAAGGGCACAGGAGCAGCCCCCTCCTGCTCTGCCAGCACCAATGTTCCTTCAGCTCTTGAGCAGAGGAGGTACCAAGCGCTCCCTCCTACCAACCCAGAAATGAGTCCGTTGGGCTACGGAGTGGAGCCTGTAAGGAGGAAGAGGTGTGGCATCAGGTGGAAGGAGGCTGGCATTGGAAAGGGTGCAGGGAGGGTGGACGGGGGAGACACGAGCACAGAGGTTTGGGCCGGAATATAAAAATAAAACTCTATGAGCCCTTGGGGGGAAGCAAAGCAGCCAAACCACCAAGGTGCCCAACCCCTGACTTCTGCCAGTCCAGGACACTCGGCACCAATGTCTTTTGCGGTCAAAAACAAGGGAGAGGAAGATGCCATCCTCAGGAAATCCAGCCTCTGCATGTTGTGCAGTCTTTAGCAGGTTGTAGCATCTGGAAGCCAGCAGAGGCCAACTCTGGGGCAAAAAGGGGCCACAGACACTTGAAACTGACGGACAAATCTCCAGGGAGGGTCAGTCTGAGAGGGTCCAGTGTCCTGAGGAAAGAGAGGCACAGCCCCAAACCCAGAAGGGCAGCCTCCCCACCATGGCTGCTGCAGGTGCTACTGCAGATGAACGGAGGGCATTTGCTCTGACGCCACTTGGAACATAAAAGTGCTTCTTGGGGCCGGACAAAGTTTCCAGTGCTGCAGGGGTGCCAAAGCCTGCAGGCGGGCAAAGGGACTGGCTGGCAGCATCCTTGGGAGTCTGGAGGCACCAGCTGGTCAGGCAGCATCCACAGGGCCAATAGGCAGAGCAACACGACAACGCCGGGCTGGTCTGGGGGAACACGCTGGAGGAGCCGTCTTCCGAG